AGATTTTGTTTCCAATGTGCTATAAGTTTACGAGTTTACGAGTTCTTAATAAAATTGTTTTATCAAAACTGTAATTTCGCAGTAGCTGCTCTACGGAAATTTCAGACTTGATGATAATTCGAAGAGATCCAATAAATGAAACAAAAAAAAGAAAAAAAGGATTGTTTTCTGGTCTTTCGGAAGAGGAAGAAAACTCGTTTTTGTAAATGCGGTACATAAGGTTGCGTTTCAGGTGGCAAAGGTTATAGCTTGAAACTTTCAGGCTAGCACCAGTGTCCGCCGTGTAACAGAGACGCCGGATAGGCCACTTGCAACCGTCCATAGGATTATATCCTACGATATCCTCCGTCTGATATCCTTCGATATTATTCTTACAAACTGTCACTGGTGCAGCGGTTTTTTCCGCATGATTTTGATGCTCGACTACGGTTCGCTCAGTTTCTTGCATGCTTTAAGGTCGATTTGCAATGGCCTTGCGATATGATTTGGACAGACGAAGCGCATTTTCATTTAGGCAATGTAGTGAATGCTCACAACTGCCGAATTCGGGAACCAAAAATTCAGCGCCCTACCTTACAGATTCCTTTGCATTCACCAAAAGTAACGGTATAGTGTGGATTTTCTGCATCATTTATTCTCACTCAGAGTTTAAGTTTTATAGGTCCAGTGACTTGCTCGATCACCGGGCATTTATAAACAGGGTTGCCTGAATCAAATGTACCTATATATGCATGCATCCTCAGTTTTCGATGCAGTACATCATGAACAGTCGATCGTGGCACAGATAATTCAGAAGCTGCCTGGTCGACTGACGCGGGCTCCGAGGGAAAGCTTGTCGAATTCCACACGTGAATCAGAATGTGAACGCGAATGTTCTTAAACGTCATTTTACAGGAGAACGTGTCAACAGCCGGCACTTCCGTAATGCGTGGCCTCCCAGATCCCCTGACGTGAATCCACACGATTTTGGGCTTTGGGGGCATTTGCAAAAACTTTACCTGATCTTTAAATCAGCATTTCACGCACCGTGCTCATTATTTTCCTAGCACACACTTCCGGCTACTGTGGAAGATGCAATTTCAGATGGTAACTGAAAATATAGCTGCCATGTGTAACATGTTTTCTTTTTGGTCATATAACTTATAAAATTGTGAAACTATTGTAAAGATGTGGCTAAATGCGTAATTTAATAAGACAATGCCCTCTGGTGGTAATATTTGTAACTATTTTTTTTTTCACTAGAAGACATTCCCATCCCTTCATTAAATCCGCCATAAAATTTCATAATTATACGATGACTGGTTTTGCCAATAGGCAGCTTTAAATTAAGGATCTTTAATTCTGGACACCCTGCATGTATAAAAATATATATACACATATTTGAATATATACACCTATATGAATACACATGTGAGCGTAAGATAGAAAAAATAGATAAGACAAAATTCTAATTTTAATTTGCATAGTTTATTTCCTTTTTTCAAGCTGATTTTTTCCCGTCCCTGTATAAACTATTATAAAGAGTTTTGATGACGACGTAATTAACTGTCGATGGTGAATGCAGATAAATGCATGAAGATGTAGCAGTACTCATTAGCCTGTTAAATATTTTCTTTTATTGCTCATAAAAATATTTCTTGATTTAAACACGGCTAAGCGCGACCATTCGTTAACAAATTTTTAATTTTGATGCCATATTTGCAATAATTAACGAAAAGTAGTAAAAACAAGCTAGCAGGAGAAAGAAGCAGAGGTGGAAAGGGTATATTGTACCTCGATGGTCTCGATAAGATTGCATTAGCTTTATATAATAATGTATAAGAAATTATATAAGAAAAATTAATTTCGAAAAGACTCAGTTTAGGGAAATTTACTATAAACAGTGACTGTTTTAGCAGAGAAAGGGTAAATAATTAAATAAAAAAGCAGAGATGAGGTACTGTGGCAAATCAAAGTCAGAATTTTATCTTCCCTGTTTATTTATTTTGTACATTTATCGGAAATTTCAGTATTTTCTTTAAATCGCTCAAAAATTTTCATAAGCACTGATAATAATTAGCAGATCCCAGTCTATCTAACAAAGTTGCTTCATGAAAAGTACTTATTAAATCTCACTGATTACCCTATCCATTTTAAGTGTACAAAATTATATACGCAGTATGCAGTTGTGAGTATTTATGACATTCCCTTTATGATGCTTCTCGTTTTGTAGGTCGTTAATATGTCCAGGCTGGGAAAAAGAAAATACGTTATTCAAATCCCAGCGAGAAAGCAGTGATTTCTCATATTTGCCAGTTTCAAAAATTGCCGCCTAAATGGTATAGTGGTTATGGAAGCCTACAGCGGTAACGAAGTACCGGATTCGAAAATCGCAGAAGACATGGTTGTAACTGTCCGTTCCTTCATAGGAGGCAACGGTGGCCGCCTATTTAGTGCCTCCACAATAAAATGGCCACCAATTCTGGCCTTTTTATTATTACAGTTATTCCATGCCCGGGAAATGTGAAAATTAACGATGTCCTAGCCGTAATTCTACGGACAGCGGAGCGTCAGAACTATCATAGAGTATGTCTATTCTAAGAGAAACATAATCATAGCAGATAACCAGGTCTAGGCACCTTACGAAATGTAAAAGCAGCAAGCCTCAACTCATGTACATATGTAAATAGTATTTCTAACTAACCCTTTTTGCTAATGAAGTTGAAAAGTATATAGGTTGCTGTAGCAACGATCAGAATAACATGACTGACCTGTAGTGCCCATTGAGGAGTGAAGCAGGCGGAATAATAATAATGGCCGTAATTCAAACTACGGATGTTTCATCCGCTTGCTACACTAGTCACTTATACTATGAGAACAAGCACGTAACAAAATGATAATTCCTTCCACACTTTCAAAAGTTGATAAATTTATTTTTAACACTATAAGGGCATAGCCTACACCATCAGTATCATCAATTAGCGAAGTTTTCTCATGCGCGCCGCCCAACCAGGATAGTGAGTAGCGACGCTAACTGCAGTGCCGAAAGGCCCGGGTCTGGAGAAGGCATGGATGTTTGTAAATGTATAATGTCTGTGCGGGCATGGGGCCACTCTAAATATGCGGCGAACCGAAAATCCTCTAGAGAGCTTGATGTTAGGGGAAGAGAGATGGGAGACCCTCGAACCTGTTCCCCCCGTGAGGTGCTCTCCATCAAAATTGGGGACCGAGGCTGAGTATTGTCACCTGTATGATGCTCAAGGCTCTTGCAAACGACAGTCGTAATCTTGCGCCCCTTGCCACGATTCGTGGGCTTGTTCTGATGTTACTGTCAGACAAATGAGATAAATCACAACAACAACAGTTTGTTTCATGCTCTGCTACAAGGCCGGTTTCCAAAATGGCGTTTCAGTAACAGAAGTTGTTTTGTATGCTCCGTTTGGAAGTTTGAATAATATAACCATGCGGCACTGAGATTTTGTGGGGAAAATACTTGTATAGACAAAAGCTCAAGTCAGCCTCGAATGCCTGACAACAACACTGAAGCGTATCTAAGGCGTTTCAACGTAGTCAGTGGCTTAACCCTTTCCGGCACGCTACTCTTTAAAGTTGGAATTTTACCAAAAAAATTTGTAGGCAGTCTTTTAGGCCTAGGGGAGTATGCAGGTATAATTTTACAAAGATTGCACAAACCGTTTCCATTTCGTGGGTGTGTCCGAAGCGAACACACTGAGCCGCACGAGCTGCGATAGGTGAGCATTGACGTGAAGCACGTATTACAGTAAAATACTTTGTCTATGATTTAAAAACAGTAGAATCTGATCTCTGTAGCAGATTTAGCATAACCCAGGGTGCATCACGGGGAGGCCTGCTACTCTACACCCCCCAAAAAAACGGGAAGAAAAAGAAAACTCTCATTGCTTCGGCAATGCTGAGGCCTCTCCGAGCCATTTACACAATTTTAAAATTTATAAGAAAAATAATTAAAATGCTATAATATTTACAATTAATTATTGAATAGAAAAAAAGGGTCTACTCTCGCTGAAAATCAAATAGCTAAGTGAAAACAAAGCACCGGGGTCTTCAAAACCAAAAACAGAAAAGAATAAAGACAAATATAAATAAATCTGCGCTCTCAGCCTCCCCCGTGTTTGAAGCTCGAGACCAGATTCTGTGACTCACTCCTACGTGACAGGCGCTATCAGTACAGTGTGTTCAGTCCGAACTCACCATACACTGAAGGCTTCACTATACGCAATATTTCAAAGATAAAAATTAAAAGTAATTCAGAATAGGCAGATTAGCATACGAACAACAAAATTATATAAAGATTTTTTCATTGATATTCTTTATATTAAAAAAAAAGAAAAATCAGAAACATTTCTTTGAAAAATCGGTGTCTTTAAAAACAGAATACATCTCAACGTTAATGATTTGCTTGTGTGGTGCTGCCATCTATTATTCATAAAAGAGATTAAAAGTAACTATTAGTGTAGTTTTCGTGATATTTATCGATTATTTTCAGCGTCTAAAGAGGGAATAGTTTTGGTGTGTTCACACCGAACACACTGCGCCGGAAAGGGTTAAGCAAGCATAAATTTAGGCTTTTTTAAAAACTGCGTGTTTGCGTAAGTCGCTCTGTTTTAAACCGTACAAGACGCAGTTGGTACAAGCGCTACATCAGCATGCAAAGTAGTGAAAAGGCATGACTTTTGTATATTCCTTAATTTAGAAAGTTCCGAAAAATCAGTTTCATCCACTCGCAATGCTTCCAATTATTTCAATCTAATGAGATTTTTCCAGCTCATAATAATTCATATTTTTTATTTTCAGTTACACTGTAACACAGTTTTAAGAATAATTTGCATATTTAAGGAAAGCAATGAAAATTCATGCATGCATAATTATTTTTTACGTACAGAACCAATTTTACTGGTCGTATAACTTAAAGAATCTCAGAAATATAATTTAGAGAACACTATAACTTAAAAAAAAACACTGCTAATATTTTACTATTTTACCTAAATGCAATCTCTTCAGCATTATTCTTGAAGAAATCGTATACTATATCTCTGCCATCGAAATTTTCTGCCACGTAAACGAAGACTTCACTACTGTCCTCTGGTGGTATACCCGAAGAAGTATTCATTGCCGATTTCAATAACCTAGGCAAAAAGCAAACAGATAAATGGTTTCTAGTAAATTAGATATGTTTCTAGTAAAGAGATATATTTCTAGTAAAGAGAGTTTATCAAAGCAAGTTTATATAATAAATATTAATTAAAAATGTACTTTTCTGCCCTTCAGTTCATTACGCATAAGAAGTGAATCCTTTAGATCTCAAGCTATGTTAAGTTATTCAAATCGTGCGCTAAAAAATAAAATCATCATTTAATATAAAGTTCTGGCTTCTAAATAAGCCGACATCACGATTGTAAATCTAATCACAATCACAATTATTGTCATCTAATGTAATGATCGTATGTGCAACCACCTCTCGAAAAGTACGTGTCTTGTAAATGTTAAATGCAGTATTATGTCCCAAATAATTACTTTGAAAATTAAAACAAATTTAACTGTCATTCAACAGTGGGTACACTTCTGTAAATAGAGATTTAATGCGCTATGTTTTAAACATACAACCTTTCAATTTATGAGAATAAAATTTAGTGATTATTATCCGCAGTCAGAAGCTATCAGAATTGTTTTTAGCCATCGACGACAATATGAACCACTCTGAAAAGAGCGTTTAAAGCCCTTATTGCACCGAATTTTAACGCAGTAATGAAGAGCTGTTTAATAATTCAGCGTATACTTTGTCATGAGAGAGAAGTGGAACTTTTTTCCGCGAGGGGGAACCTACCTTGTTTTCAAATCTACCAGTCCAGTCAATAATCATTGAGCTGGTAACGACTACGAGTATGAGAAAACGCCTGTATCCATAAATTTAGTAACTGCAGCACAAAAAACTCTCTTAATTTGTTCACTGCAGCACATTTCTTAAATTAATACAAAATACTTTCTACCCATATACTTGTTGCATGATTAAAGCTTACGAACTGAAGGATTTTTCACTACTTTAGATAAGTTTAACCATCAAATGTATTTCTTATAAATCCTGCTACCTAAATAAAACATTCATTGTCTAAAGAAAACACTTTGTCTGTACTTTATATGGTGCTTGGCATCATCGAAGTCAAAAGCTTTCTCGCTTTAGAAATTCGGAGCATTTGACTTAAGGTGACGAAGTCCCAATAATATTCAAACTAACTTTTAACCAGGTGGGCACAAATGTGCATAAAAAAAGCTTATTTTAAAAAAGTCTTATTTTTAATGTTACTGTTTTTATTGTTTGTGGGAGATATATACTGCATATAAAAAACAGTATTTTTGTACCATCATTTTTTCTTCAACGAAACATTTTAACATCTTAGCAATGTTTGCATTGAAAATGAAACTTCGATACAGTTAAGCGGTCAATGTTTTAAATTTTAATGATAAATTACTACTTATACTATTTTTTTAAATCAATGGTTCTCTAAAATTAATTACGTAACTACGTCTTTTAAAACACCAACGTTATTCAAAATTTTTTATTTTATTAAATATATCTGCACAGCATTTCTAAAGACCTAAACCTGTCCTTTCGCTTATTTTAAGCTGTATTCATGCTACAAATTTTGCCCACCAGCAGCTGAGCGGTAAAATCGCTCAACACTAGTAGTTCTAACCTGGGTTCGATTCTGGGCTGACTGCACTTTTTTTTTTGGGGGGGGGTAGTTTCCCCAATGTGTAACGTGTCTCCAAACAGTTTTCCTTGGAAGGTCCTCCCCTTAGGTAGATAGCACTAGTGTGCTTTGCCATAATCAACTAAAACAATACTACAAATTTTTAAACTTAAATATAATACCTTCTCAGTAATCTAGTTTCTCTTGAACAAGCTAAGGCTTTCAATAAAACATTCTTCTCTCCTTTAAAGTTCTCTTTCAAATATCGCTCCCACATCACCTGCCAATCTTGAGTTTTACCTCTGGCGATTCCAGTACACAAAACAACTTCTCTATCATCAGGATGGATCCTAAAATTATACATAAAGATTAATCAAAACATTTAATTAAACTTAATGTTTTACATTACCAAACAAAAATATCCCAACTTTCCCTGTTACAAAAAAAAATCTAAAATTTCTTGAAATATTTTAAGCAAAAATTAAATAAAAGATTGGTTATTGGACAAAATGCTGTTGAATCAAAAAGTAGATTCTGAAACAAAAGTTATCAGAATACCTAATTTGCCCACAAATGTAAAAGGAAATTTATGGTTTAATATTAATATTCCGTCAGAATTTCTCTTTGTTAACTAATATAAATTTAATACTATCAGACTTACAAAATATTTAGCTGCTACTGCAGTGAAAATGAGTGAAAATATGTCTACAATCAAAAAGGTTGCCGCATGTGATGCAAATATGTTAACAGTTGATTAATAACTTAAAATAATTGACGGTTTCATAATTAATTGTTTTATGCTTCTAGGTGCACCACTTACATACCTTCTAGTTTAAGAGAGATATTTATCTCAGGAAAGTGTAACGTTAGTCGATGGCTCCACCTACTCATATTAAATTTTTAGTTGGATGTATTTGCAGAGTTTTACCTTCGACTGAAACCTAGGTTCTTATCGTCTCGGTTTACAAAGGTATGTAACAAGAGTCAGCTTCTAGTAGTGTCTTAATTACGATGTGGGAAGAGGGAGGCTGTTAACAAGCTTTATTGACTTAGGTAGAAAGCTGGAAGTAATTCTTAATGAATACTTTAATTATAGTAGTTCAAATAATAATTGGGAAAATTTTTTTCAAATAAATTTAACGATTAATTTTGAAAAGAGAGTAATCCATTTGAAAAGACACTTTGACGTCAGAAAAAAATCTATAGTCGAGTCTTTCCACTTGCTTCGTCCTATTATACTCGTTATGTTACATAAAGTTACTTTAGCATTAATCAATCATGCGGCTTGGTAAATTTTCAGCTTTCTCTGCTGTTGCCAATCTTGCGTCAGAAGATTTTTAATCTGTATTTTATCGTTCCTGTTAAACTGACAATTTTAAGTCTGCTGTCAGTCTCGACGTGGAAGATTTATAGATTTTCCAGCTTATAGAAGTAAACTGCATATACTTCAAGAAGATGAGAAAATTAAAAATAATGTACGTCCTTTCTTTATGTTTATCATTTTAGTATTATACCTACTTGATTATGCACCTAATTCATAATTAAATTAAAATGCTTACATAAATAGCGAAGCTCACAAACGACGCTTCTAACGTCATATATTACGTACTCTGTTGCAGAATGGTAATTTATTTGTCTTCGTATTACTTGCTTATTTCTCACAGTCATTTAGATTGTCAAAACGCTCGTAGTTACAATGTACTCGCAGATCATTCAAAAGGAAAACACAGTATTAAGTAACAATCGTATAACATAGCCGAATATCTTTAACACAAGTAATTTTCAATTGGCCCACCAGCGGCCGAGTGGTAAAAGCCGCTGAATACTGGTAATGGACGCTGAACATGGACGTTTTCGTGGTTCCCCCCCCCCCCGTGTAACGTGGATGCGAGCCAGTTTCCCTAAAAAAACCTCCACGGGGTGTCCCTTACTTTCCGTGTAGTGCCTAAGGACGAAGCACGTAATTAGTAAAAGAAGTAATTTTTAATTCTTTTTTATTATATTATGCAATTTTTGCTAATTATATATTAAGAATTCTGTTTTTCAAAATTTCATGACAGAAATTATCTCAATTTCCCTCAAGAAAGGGAACCCTTAAAAAAAAAAATGTTACAGAATAGGTTATTTTTTTGTCATGTTGCCTAAAAATTGTCCCGATAAACTTACGTAGGTTATTTAAGAAAAATACGTCAAATAAAAATTTACTTTTTGCATTCTAATCCTCAGCCTTGAAAAATTTTTGATACATTTATCTAAAAAAAAAAAAAAAAAAAGAGAGAGAGAATAACTTTTAAGAATTTAGTTCAGCGTCTTTACACATAACCAAAAGCAAGCTCTTTTAAGTTTATAAAATATGCAAAATAGAGAAAAATGAATTAATTTTTTTTTTTTTTTTTAACTTTAGGAACTAGTAAAGGACCTTGACGGAAATATGCATCATAATCAGCTTCATACACCTATCAACAGATGAGAACATTCTTTTGACTTTTTAAGTTGCATACATTATCAGCGGTTATCTATTGCTTTGAGGACGTGGACAACCTTTCACTACCTCAACTACAACCACAGCAACATTCCTTTGAACAGTGTAGGGCGGAGGATAATAGCTCTAGGAAAAAAACGCTAGGTAATATTTTCGGGGGGGGGAATTACTGCAGCATAACTTACTTCAGCAGCAGTTGAACCTGTTCCGTTTATCAGCCTCACATTTATAATGTCAGAGGTCATCATATTCTGAAAGCGTAGACTAGCAGTGTATCTGGACAATACTTATATGCGTGTGTTTTTCCCGCAAATTCTGTAATAAGTGATTACGCCAAAATTCATTGACCTTTATTAGAAATATTTTTGTATGAAACTAATAATTATGATATAAAAAGTAACCAAAGTAACCGGACAAATTCTTATAAATTAGGAAAATATTACTAGTCTTCAAATACATTTTTCTCCATCAAAATAATTGCCAGACGAATCTATACAATTTTTGAACGTTTATTTGAGTCATCAAAACAATGTTTATAGGCACTGTAGCTAACCCTTCGCAAATTACGCGTAACATTTGATTTAATATCTGATTATTTTTCAGATCTCTCGATTCCAAGCAAAGGCATTGCTAATTTTTCATATTGTTTGTTTCCAAAAAATACCTAATGTCTCTTCAACGTAACTGCAAATCTCGCATATCCTTCGCGAAATTGAAAGCTTGCACACAATGAAAAACACACCAATCGAACCAGTTTGTAAATAAATGCTTGAGGCTATGGATTTTGCATATAAAATAATGATATCAATCTCTACATAAAAGCTGAAATGGTGAATGAAGCGTAGTAAAAGTTTTAACTTCAATTAAGAAATGCAAATGGGACAGTTTTCCATATGCTAATTTGAGAATAAATTTTAAATTTTAGTTACTATTAAAAATTCCGAAAATCAGTAAAATTCTCACTTCGACTCACTACTTTTTATCGAATTACCTAGTTTTATTTAACAACTTAATTAAGAAAAGAAGATTAAATATAAGTAACATCTCAGCTTAAGTTGCGTCTAATTACTACAGCCAGTTTTAATTAAACAAAGCACAGATGTTAAATTTCGAAACACGGAAAAATGTATAATCATCATATGTAAGGACTAAATTATCGCTGAACGCTAGTAATTCGACCGGGTTTCAAAACTCGACGAAAGGACTGGCTGCTTGGGAATGTTCATAGTTTTTCTGTGTAACCTGTAAGTTTTCTTTAAAAAGACATCCACGATGGCGTCTCTGCCGCAAGACAGATAATCCTCTGTATTTTTCAGAAATCTTTACTACGCTTTCAGAAGGAATATTATTTATTTAGTTTAATCGCGATAATACAAAAGTTATGCATACGTTAAAATTTATGAGCCTGAAAGAAAATTTCTTTTTGTGAATAATTATAAAGCAAATATAAATATAAATCTTTATAAGGAAAATTATTTCTTTTAAAACCATTTATAGCAATGTTTTTCAACCTTTTTTGCCCCCATCCACGCCTTTCGACATTGCTAGACGATCATTTTCCCCCGACTCCTTTCCAAAATTGAAAAACATATACATTTATTTAAATTTAGATTATTTTTCAATTTGTTTTATAAATTAAACTAGGAAAAATATAGAAAATGTTGATAAATACCAAATTTTTAATAAAAAAAAATTAGGTTCAAAACTGAAACTAAACCCTTAGCAGGTAAATGAAAAGTTGACCGTATCATCAGGTATAAATGTGCAATAACACTGTTTTGATACACTATTGTTTCTTTCGCATACTTTAGAATATCACTTATAAAACTCTCAATTACATACGTTTTTTTATCACCTATCAACTTTTATAAGTATTTTAAAAATGATCTTGAATGATTTTTCATTTAATCCTCCTTTAATTGCATTTATTAGCATTTGTTACCTCGATAACTTCACTAGGTAAATACTAAGCCTGCGCGGGGAACATGCACCAAAGCTCAGATTAACTTAAAAACTGTTTGCGGTAATTAAAGTACAACTGCATAATTTCTACTGAAAATGAGTTTCTTAGTAAGCAAAGCTACAATGAATGAATTGTCTTTACTAAAGATAATTCATTTCAAATCTTCTCATTTATTTAATCATTTTTTTTAAATTTCTGGTAATGAGAAAATATTGCAAAATTCGTGTCGGAAAAGGAGCAAAGTCTTCATTGGATGAATATTTGTTAAATAAGGCATTATTATTACAATAAGTTGATTAAAAAGAAAAACAAAGGGCCAACTAAAATTTTGAAAACTTGCTTGAATCAAACCCAGTCTTTAATGCCTTCAAAGTAGCATCTTTCTGCGTTTATTCGCCACGCATTACGCAATTACTGGAATGCTCTGAGAAAATGTTTTAATTGAAATGTGGTCAAGCAGTTTTTTCGATTCTGCATGTATGTCCCTTGTGGAGTCAAAAGAGTGTCTTTTCATTTTGTATTCCAATTTTGAAATGAAAATGCATCAGGTGCTAAATTTGACAAACTTGGTCTCATAGCGAGTTACACGGCGGCTAGAAATTGCTACCTCTTCAGGGTGATGGTATTTTGCCGAATTGAAGCAAGCAGTTTTCACCTATGCACGTGTAAAGACTTGTACAATAGATTCAATAATTTTCAACATTTTTCATCGCTATGCTCCTAGCTTTCTTTGGCATCTTTGATCTTGGGAAACATGGGATTAGAATTAGGATGATTAAATTTTGGCCAAACATGCGAGAGTTATTTTCTTGATAGGAGAGAGCCTTCGTGAAGAACTTTTTAGGCGAAATTGGCTGGTATTCACTTTGCACTTGAGGAGAACAACAGAAACTCCTACGCAGCTAGCCCGTTCGCTAGAATTTGAAACTGGGTTGGACTATCAATGTGAAGCTTTCTTATTGCTTGGCCGCTAGTGAGCCTATAGGAATATGAGATTCTCCATTCTGAGGTCTATATTATCGTCTCAGGAACACAGCGAATCTCACGCATTTACCCAGTACAGCGCATTCATAGCGAATTACTGAGGATGCTACAGTACACTTCGATTTAAAGACTTCCTAGAAGACTTCTTGTCGTGATTGAAGCATTGAGCTCGATGCCTATATGCAGCAGAAGACCACATTAAAGGGGACAGAGGTCAATTTTATTCGATTAAGGTTTCAAAATTTAATCAGACTTCTTGATTGATGAAACAGAAAAATGAGATAGAGAGAGTTTCAAAGTCTGCATAATTAATTTCAAACTTGTTGTTTCTAATTCATTCAGCCTTGTTGATTTCGTTTTGATTAATGTAATAGGAAAATATAACGGATTAATATAATCGGAATTTTTCGTGAAACCATCATTTTTAATCATATTTCTCGTCTAAATGTAGGATCTATACATTCATTTTCGATTAGAGCAGTTTGCCTAATAATGCTGGTTTCAACATTAAAATTTGCTATGTAAATTGCAGTTTTGGAGGAATTTTCATATGCAAAGAAATCCTTTATATATTGCACTTTTGCTTCAGCTTAATTTGAGTTTTTATAATATTCATTTACATTTAAATAAGTTGTATTTGAGATCATAATTAAAAACCTCATTCTCATGGCACTAGATTAAACTTTGGATAGACATTTCGAAATGCCGGTTTATAGTAACAGATAAAATAGTAAAGATAACGACCGAAAACCATCTAATATTCATATCTCAGATCCTTATAGCTATTACTAGCGCGATATTTTGAGTTTTCAGTAACATTTATGTATGATCATTTCCATTAGTAGTGCTAGTAGTAATAGACGAAGCAAGCCAGCATTAAAATAAGATAGAACCTCAAAATGGTGTCTATCATTTCCAGTTTAAGGCCAGTTTTGCGTCTTTAAAGCATTATCGCAAGGATTGTCTGCTCCTGGCAAAAACTAAAAACCTGTCTTAAAGATGACTCTCCGCTAGGTCGATCTTCCCTGCAGGGTTGACGGCCTTTACACAATTCGTGTAGATAGATATCATAAACTAGTTTTTATAGTGGTACAGGAAACATGAATAATCAGTAGAGGTACTTTACAAAGTATGTTACTTTTATAATTGTTACTAATATTTTGTACGATTAGGTTTCGAAATATATTAGATTTAAGAATCGTCTAATGAATACATTCGACTAAAGTGTTGGTATGGCATCTTGGGAATATCATTAGCTATAAAGCCATCAACAAGCGTCTACTAGCGGCTGAATGTCCATTCACCCACTGGTAGTTTGACTCAGGTTAGACTGGCTACATGGACATTTTCGTAGTTTTCTCCATGAAACATGTGAGGGAGTCATGGTTTATAGCTCCTAATATAATAACATGAATGTCATGTGTAATGTAAATATGATCCAGTTTCTCTTAGAAAACTCCAAGGAAGCATCCCTTCCTTGCAATAGCCCTCATATGCTTTGACATAATGAAATTAACAAACAGCCCCATAGTAACAGCCTTTGTTTTCTTTCCCCTAATCGATTATATTACAACAGTCGATTAAAGAAACTAACAACAAATTAGCTACTCTTAAATTTAGATTATCTTAAAGTAACCTATTTTGAAAATGGTGTAACATAAAGAGAATGCTTTAAGACTCAAAACAATTAATCGCATTGCCTATAAAAGTGCAAACTACAGGCAAATCCTTGTATCGCGCTATTTGCATAGTCCAGAAGAAGCTCAATATTCGTCCCTAAACGGTTTTCTGTGAGAGATTTTTAATAATTTAAGTCTCCGGATTTTTCATGAAATTTGAATATCCATCAAAATCAAATATAAGTTCCAATAACACTAAAGCCAAAATAATTGTGATTTTGAAAGTTGAAATCGAAAACTATTGATTAATATTTTGATGCATTTACTTGTTAGAAATACACAAAACTAGCACTATTGAGTTATTTGGCTTTTATGAAAACCATAATGCCAAACAACTTTAAAAGACAGGATGATTTTCGCATTTTGTCATTATATATTTTATTTTTACAGAATTTCATGGACATAACGTCTGTATTTCCTTTTTAAACATTTAATATCAATCAGATCTATAAGCAAACGTTCAACTTATTTATTTATTTGACCACTGTAATATTTTGCTGCAGTGCTTATTTTAAACCCTATGTGTTCTTAATTCGGTAAGAACATTCATAACAGTCTTTCTATAATCTATGAAACACAAATTTAAAATCAGAAATTAGTTCTTACGTAACATTTCCTGGCGGCTCTTTGATCCATTCAGAGAATAAGGCTTGAACTCTTTCGACGCAATCTTCATTACCATAGCTGCAGCTCCACTTCAAAATATTTTTTCGCAGAAACCTTTCAGTGGTATAAAATGATTAGTACTTTCCTAATTATTACATTCAGAGGACTTTCAAAAATATTTCAAGCAATAATTAAACACTAGAAATTGACGAGAGAACTTCAAATTACCGTATACACAATATACATACATAGAGATACAGTCGAATCCCGATTTAACGAATCTAAATTTAAAGACTCATAATTTAGCGAATGCAGTTTTAAAAATTTGCATTTTTTTTTAAATTTCTGAAAGGGAAGAAAAACCTAGCCTTTAAATTACTTATGAATCCTGTTCGTACGCAAGATGGAGTTATCCCTTTCACTATGCAGTGTCCTCTTTGTCTGATAAATTAAGATGTTAGAAATGTGAGTTTTTGTTTTACCCTTACCAAATTTTCGTGCAGCCAGTAGAACTTGCAGAATATAGTAGTGAGTCTACCACTTAAAGCGAAGTTTAGAAAATTATTGGACCGAAAATATTGAACATTTAAAAAATATAATTCTTGTCTTTTAATTTAAAACTTTCTTGATTCTCTTTAAAAGCAATGTTCTTAATGGGATAAAATTGGCAGAAAATTCATCAATAATTACTTTAAAAACCACGATTTTTTCATAAGGTTCAAATGCTATTTATCTGCTATCAAGTGGAACTGGAAAGAGGATACTAAAATTCAGACTGAAATTTAACAGGTCTAATATTTTCTGATATGTATCTATCGATATTGCTTCTTCGAACTGCGGAATAGAATCTGGTGATAAATAAGCACGGAATCCAATGATTGACATTTAAGAAAAGATACAATAAATGAGGTTAAAAGGATATTCTTTCTGGTCTGGAGTCTACATGAAAATCTTCAGTTAAGCATGAAACAGAACAACAAATATTTAACGCTTTACAGAAAACTAAAAACGAATTTTGAGAAGGAAATCATTTGACTATACTTTCTGCACATAATAGCTTTCATTCACTCTTTTAGGTCTTCTTTCTAAGGGTAACCACTTATTTATATATCTACTTTATTATCTCCCAAGTTAGTAAATAATTTAAAGAATTTTATCATCAGTTCTAAAAGATTCGCTAAATTCAGATTCGACTGTGTACGTAAAGGAGTTACAGCTCTTTTTAACTTTAAAAGCATATATGTAAAATACTACAGCGGAATGACATAACACCTGAACGAAAGTTAAAATTCGTTTAAATTTCAAGCAAATTTTTATGCACAGTAAAGAAGAAGTAATCGTAATTATTTTACGTAGCAAAAAACTTTTGCTGTATGAAAACATGATTTGGGACCAATGTTAGTGACATGAATTAACGCATAATGGCAAAAATTGCGAAGCTATAAATTCTAATCAATTTTTATAATCTTACTTATCCAGAAGAGTTTCATCTACATCGTCTTTAGTCCATCCTAAGCTCTTATACAAAGGCGTCATAAGGGTCAAAACATACACCTGTTAAAAATTCCAAAAGTGAGATAATTCTCCATACAGTGAAATAAAATTCAATAAAAGAAATAGAAATGTTGCTAACTAAGACAATCTCAGTCATTCAAAAGAGTTGTTTAGAACACGGACAAATGTCCTTCTAAACCAAGGTTAAATAATAAAAAGGTTGACGAACTTCAAAAAAACACGTGGATCGCTTACGGGTGCGAAATCCCTTCTTTCAGGCCCCCAACCTTTCTGAAGCTAAATGATCCGAAAGTTTATGCGAAATGTCCATATGAATACAGATGAGATAGTATACTCCAAAAATAATTTTCTCGTGACATAAAGCAACAAGAACGGGTCTGAGAAGTGATTAAAAGGCAAGAAGTTTAATTATACGTTTAGTGTCATAGACAGAGTCTTCGGTAAATTAATCTTATTGATAGAATCTTGATAGTCAGAGTATTTATTCAGTCCAATTGCGTAAACTGCGTAGGTAAGACAACTGGCTACGAACAAATTTCTTAAAATTGTTTTGAAATACTATTTTTTAAAACACGGATTTCGGTGTTATGAGGAAAAGGAATTTCAGTTTGATAGTTAAAAGGTATATAAATTATTAAACAATTAATAATTAATTCTTTATTAATATTAAGTAGGGGAATAAATATATACTTTAAGAATTGATAAATACATAGGACATAATTTATTATGAAACGTATGGTTTGGGCAAACGTGTTTCCAATACATTTGATATCTCATATACGTATAAGGCATATATAACACATATAGTTTATGGAATACATAGCTAACACGCTATATCTTCAACAGAATTTTATAGAGTATCAGAGGATTAAGGTTAATTATTTAAAGTAACGCACGCAAGGTCTATTTATTTAAAGGAAGAAATGCTTTCGTGGAGGATTTCCTAAGACTGCTAATACTGGTTATCCTACAATTTTACAGGCATATGCAGGGATTACTGATACTAATTTATTGATAAAATTAGGATTACTGATAAAATTAGCCTGTTTCTCTTAGGATCCAGCCTTTTCGCCGGGATTTGAACCTGGCAACACCTAAACAGTTATGAGGCGGTGTTGACCCAGGTGAATCAGTCAGTATCAAAGGGAAAATGTAACTACCAGTGTGTATGGACGGGGGGGGGGCAACATAACTTCATAGATGCGCACGAAAAATTACTAAATGCTCATGTATCACCGACTTTTGCATATATGGGTACGGAGCTCTTTTCGGATACTATATTAGCATATAATAAGCATTTTTATTAATAGGATAATTTACAGCAAACGTTTGCCTTCATTGTGGCAAAAATTGTCTCCGCTATTTATTCTTAACTTACTACATTCCATAATCAAATATTTAAGCTTCTTAGTTATCTTTCATCGAACTACTGATCACCAATAAACCACGGAAACATTGTTATTAGAATATCGACGTTAATAACTGAAGTAATAAATATCGATGAAAGACAATTAATTTGCAAGAAACACTCTGACATGAATATACGCAAAAAGGAACGAACTGCGCTACTTAAATACGTGCTTCTAATCAGTTTTCTTTAAACAGTCATGCACTAACAGTTTATACGTTTAGCATCATTTCATCCTTTTGCAAAATCAGATTGCTTAATTGCTCCATTCATTAATCAACTAATCAAGGCAGATAGAACACGAGGGCTATCCGGCCGTCAGTAGAAAAGTTTTTATAGACGGCTTACTAAGAAAAACGAGTTCGTCTTCATGTTGCATAAGGGAAAACCCATGCAGCCAGTTTAATTTCCGAAACCCAAACCCGCGCCAAACTACTATTGTTTAGCAGTTATATCCGCTCAGTCGTAGGTAAGCTACTTCGCAAAGAAAAATACGAATGATAACAGCATTCATTTCTGATAAATAGCTGTTTGCGTTCTTTACACTAACCTCACAGCTTTTACTCTTTTTTGTTAACCCTCCACAATCGAAGAAGTAAGACCGCTGAACACTAGTAAGTAAATCGCACAGGACATAAGCGGTTAGCGAAGTTAATGATTAATAGAGGTTGACTGTAGTCTAGCTTTCTAGTGTGAGGGATCGAATTGCGCGTAAGGCCTTTTTCACCCTTAACCCTTCACGCGAGTGTAATATCGATGGAATCCTGTGATTCATCCTCCGTAACACTTTAAGGGATCAGAAGGCGAAATGTCCGCAAAGTTTGGCCATTCTCCCCGAAAGCATTAAGCTCAAATATCCAACCATTTGGTTTAAAAGGAAAAAAAAATAGTTGGCAGCTCGACTCGGATTCAAATCAAGGTGAAGGGGCTCGCAACATCGCTGTTTTCGTGGTTTTCCCCATATATTGTAAGGATCTTAAGTTTTACTAACGTTTATTTTATTTTAAATCTTTACTATCACTTCTTATTTTCTACTTCCGGCCAGAATTATAAGCGTGAAGGAGTTTATGCAAAGTTGTCTGGCGAACGCCAAGTATTTAAGTGTGGCCTTTTTGCCAAGCAGAAGAGAGGAAGCCGTGAGTTCGAAGCAGGCCGCTTACCTTAGAAGTTACGCAGTTGCTACTTTGCCTTCCAGGCCAGAGGTTTTAATCCTCTTGATAAAATTAAACGTATTGTAGTGTTCACAGTCTCTGTGCTACATACGCTTCCTGTTATTATAAGGCCAATCTTATTCTAAAGTTAAATTAGAGTTTAGTTTTATTTTGATATCTTTTAAGTTAGACCCCGAGTGGAGGGTCATTGTATTCCGAAGTACGGAAGTCATTGTATATAAAGAAGAAAAATAAAGGGTTTTGTATACCCTTCGTCTGTATCCTGTCTACTTACTACAACTAGTGAACATAGCTTTAGTAAGCTCTCTGTTCTAGTCAGGTCATTGTATGTTTCCGAAGAAGGTTAGAAGAAACATTGAACCTGATAATATAACGTAATAAATATGTACAGGGAAAGGCGAAACAGTTTCCCTTAGAAAAACCTCTACGAAAACATTTCTTCTTATAGGTAAATAGCCCTAGTATACTTTGCCATAATCAAATAAATCCATTCCCTTTTCACGTATGGTCTTATTCATTTTTTGCTTCAAAAGTTATTTGAGTTCCAGCCTAATCAAGAAGTTTTTATTTCAGTTAGTTTGCGTTTTTTCGACTATGTTATGTGTAAGAAATAAAAATTTTAAATGTTAAATTATCATACTAATTTTATTTTAATTAGCTCAGGATCATTTATAGATTCTTTAAAAAAGTCAGCAATAACACATTTATTTTGCTTCCCTTAATTTCAATTCAAATTGAGGCCAGTTACAAAAGATTTGATGTGGCCAGCTCATGACATCCCACTAATTCCATGTTTTAAATAGCAACGAGCTTTAACTTGCAGAAACATTAGGTTATTTTGAAGCAGGAGATGTGAAAAGCGAACAATGCCCTCGCCGGCGCTCGAACCTGGACCTCTCAGATACGCGCCTAGTGTGCTACCGTTACACTAGGAAGGCATGCAGAAAGAAGAGAGAAACTACCTTATATACTATATATAGTGTTCTGGCCATTCCACCACGAAGGCATGCTAAGAAGGCGAGAGAAATACCTTATATACTCCCTCTTTTAAAGTGCGACTGGGTATTAGGAACCCACTCGCCAGATCATGGTGGTGAAGAACCATCATCCACCACCTTTATTTAGTTCGGGCGCCACGTGGTGTAACAATAGCACACTCGACACGTATTCGAGAGGTCCAGGTTCGAGTCCCGGTGAGAGCATTGCTCATATTTCACGTCTTCAGCATTAAAATAACTCTACGGAATAAAACTGCGAACCTTATATCTCTCATAGGACACGCAATCAGTGGTATATAAGAAGACCAGAGTAAATGAATGCAATCTAATATATTGCGTTCTCGGAATGTCATGTAATTTGCCATAATGATTTCAATTTCTTTAAAGGAATGAATCATAAATCATCATTATAGAACCTGTTGGCGATAATTTACGCTTAGAAGGCCATGTAATACAAACACAGGCCCATGAAAGCTTTAAACATACAGCCGCATGATCTAATATGTGCATCATGTGCTTAAAATATACGGCTATCATGATTGATAAAAATGGCTTGTACGGTCAGGCTGTCGTCGATCAATATCCCCTAACAGAAGGGAGTTAGAATACGGCCGCAGTCCGGCCCGAATAGTGAATATGAATTTACTTCATAGTCAAAAATGGGCTGCTCCCGAGAGAGCAAACACCAAGGTGGAAAAAGAAATTAGAAAACAAACACAAAAGAATAATATTATGAAACAAACCAAAGGAAAAGGAAAACGTATAATCACAAAACTCGGACAAATCACACCCACATGATACACACACACATCCAAAAAAATAGGTGACAGGAAGAGTCTCCTAATTTGGAATTCTGATCCTTTCCTTATTATTGTTTATAATTTATCCTGTGCGATTTTTATATTTCTCTTAGAATAATAATCACGTTCACTAGGCAATTTTAAAAATCTTCTCTGAGACCAGTTAGTTCACATAATTCACTAGTTAGTTCACATGATTCCAGAAAATGTATATTATCACCTACTACAGTAGTTCTCAAACTTTCCCGAGTCGCGGCACCTTTCTACAATTAAAATTTTTCCATGACGCCCTACTAAAGGTAAGTAAAAGTATGACCGATCGCATGTAAGAGATACAAAAAATAAAACTTATGTATCTTCATTATTTATTTTTTTTTTTACTTTATTAACATTAAATTGATAATCAGTATAATATATGAGCCTGCAAATCACTGCACATTTTTTTTTCAAATCGTGGAGCTAAACTGGATACGACCACCCTCATTTCCTTTTCCATGTTAATTTTTGCTGTATACTTGCTTTCTACTACAGCAACTGCCGAAAACCAAGCTTCGCACAAATACGACGTTGAAAATGGAATTCAAAATCCTCTGAGAAGAAGGGGATATCCATCTTTTATTGAAATAAAAAATTCTGTCAATTCCATCCTGCCAAATTTTGCTCTCAAATTGTTGTCGCAAGTTAACTCGATCAGATTCGCTTCTTCCTCAGAAATAAATTCAGGTGGAGCACTAGTGTTAAATGGATCTTGTATCCATGCAAACCTATCGAAATTCTCATTTGAAAGTATTTCTCAAACCAGATAATTAGCTGTGATAAATGCCTTTCCAACATGGCTTTTATATCTTGAGAAAGATCAAGTTCATTTGACATCAAAAATTGCTATAAATATAAAATAAATAAAGTATAAAAACAATTTTTGCCTGCGTTCAATTTTCTTCTCCATATTTTAAATTCTTTTATAAAAGCTTAATTTGTTTTTCTGTAGACTTCAAAAGGTACATGTTTTTCCCAGCAGAGCGAGATTAAGGAAATTTAGCCTTTCAAAAATGTTGCATAAATATGTCAGTTTTATTAAAAAAACTCGACATCAGCAAAATCTCATGCATCTTGATATCCTTCAACTTTAAATAAAAATCTCTTGCCGCAGTTCAAAGGTACGTGATAAAACATTGCCACGAGACAGCCATCGTGCACAATACAACAAAGGTGAATTTTCGGCTCACATATCCTCACACAATTTTTTTTAGAAAAGCTTATTTTCAATAGACGAGATATTACAATTTTTACTACTTTCACCATACATTCTAACACCTGATTCAGTTCAAAACTGAGATACTTTGAAGCAAGCGCTTCTCTATATATAATGCAATGGATCTAGAGTGCCACTTGGTGATTAGCTTCGAATTAAGAATCTGTAATCCTCAATAGCAAGCAGATATGGATCGAGCTCCATCACTGCAGTCACCAACGCACTTAAACCAATTCAAGTTATTTTCGTATCTGAATGTATCAAGAATCTCAAACAGGTTCTGAGCCTTTACTCCTGCAATAATATTTTTACAGAACAGAAGGTCCTCTTTAGTATTATTACCATCTATAAACCATACATAGCTTATCAAATGAGTATCTTTATTATTATCCGTAGCCTCATCTATCTATAATCCTAATTTCACTGCTTTAATTTTTTCAATTAATTAATCGTTCATATCCTCCGCAATATGTTATATTCTCTGACTAAAGCAAAAGCATTGGACAAAAGCACTTTTTAAAAGCAGCTTTCCGGCAGACTCGCCAACCATGATGTTTAACATATCTACAGCAGCCGGTAGAATATGATCTTCTGCGATGGTATGAGTCTTCCTACCGATTCTGTACACCACCTTGTAAGATATTAGAAAAATCTTGTTTAGTATTGAGTCAGTCTTCAAAAAAACTGTGTTGTTGTTGTTGTTGGTTCAGTTCTTTTAACTTCCTGGCAAAAATATCATGAGGTTTGATAATATGCTGTGGTGATTAGCTTCTAAATTGTGCTTCAATTTACTTGCAGGCATGCGCTCCGCTGCCGAAATTTTCATACATTTTCATACATTTTGCGGTCTCTCTTCACTATTCATTTCTGTTGATGTAAAACGAAACTCTGAATAACAGTCATCATATTTAAGGTATTTTCCTTTCTACATAGTCATACCACTGGTTAAAAGCATACTTTCTTTATCTGCACTATTCACAAATCGGCCCATCATCGAAGATACAAGAGCAAAAATTCAAAAAATTATTTATCAGAGACAACGAACAAGAAGCAGTGCAACACTAACTCCACGAACTAATTTATATCACTATTTATCGATATGAAGTGCTGAGTTTAATTTCACTAGTAACTTATACGTCGACTGATTTAATATTTTTATTTGATGAGAGTTCAACTTAACATAATATTAAAAATGCCATTAAATAAATAACTTGCTGCTAGTCCTTTTTTAGTATTTGTTTTTTAAAGGTGAAGCAGGATTTAAGGGTGAAGCAGGATTAGTTTTTGAATAAAACTTAAATCACTAAATATAATACTGCATGGTCTAGAAAAATAGTCAGTCCCTAATAGTTGAAGCAAACCTTATTCTTCACATTCTTATAAGAAAAATATATGCCTTTTACAACCGAAAAAATACTCACTTTCCATTGTTCATGAGCCTCAGTTTTTCCCAGCATGAGATCAATATATCTGAAGGCTGAAAATGCGGCTTGCCAAGGTAGAAACTCCTTCTCCAGATAAAGATATTTCGTCATATTCAGAGCTAACGGATACTCAACTTTATCAGCTCTGAAAATAATGGTTTTTGTATTTGAATAAAAATATTAATTGAAATTGTTATTTCCTCTTAAAGAAAAACTGTTAAATTAATTTATTTAACTGACCTTGCTAAATTCAGGATATCAGTTACAATTTGAGCTCTGTTAATAACATGAATTTCCTAGTGAGAAGAATAAAAAGGAGTTAGAAAAGTGTGATTAGTACTAATATTTTAAGTAAAAGTAGCTACAATTATAAACTTCATAGTACCTCGTAGTTATCTAACAGCTGCAAAAGTATTAGATCCCAATTTCTTCTATCATAGTTAACTCTGTAATATCCAACTTGTTGCACATTAGCAATCACCCAAGTGTCTAGATCAGGCAGATCTTCTACGGTCACTGAAAAAAAACAAGGGATATATTTTAGGGCAAAATTTAATTGCTCAAGTAATTACAAAATATTTCTAAATAAAGGTAAAGCGAGATTAACAACCGAGAAATCATTAAAGGCGTGAGAATAATAAAAGTATGCAGATTCATGATATACTACACAAAAAATAATTAAGAGCAGAAGATGTGAGAATAAAAATACATACATTAAAAGTTAAAGGAAAACGAATAACGGTAACTTCTATAGATTTACAATGACTACTGTTTCAATTTGGAAATGCTGAAATAATAAAAGTTGCGTTTCCTTCCAGATTTATTATTTCATGTTTTTAGTATCGTATCAGATTTCTATGACACATAAAACCGCTACCATGAATTTGAAAGGACAAAGGCTATATTTGAAAAAAACATAGTCTATGATTTGAGAAAAGGCGTAAGACAAAGGCTTGAGAAAAACGACAAAGACTATGATTTGAGAAAATCATAGCCTTTGTCGATTTCTAACAGAAACCTCAAGTTTAATGTTTAGAACCATATTTTCAAGAAGCATTATCATATGGAGAATTCCTAAAAGAATAACATCTAGGACAAGTTTGTGCGAATGCTGAAATTCGGTAATACAAAGATCGGCGGACGCTAGCAAAAGGGACGTCTTCATAACAGTGTCAAGCCATGAAGATGCTGACACCAATATGCAGTTCGGCCACCGTTCGCCAATATACTAGAAACCTTCATGAGAACGCTGGAGCAATCTTGTAAATCTAGTGATCTTGTGCGCGCATCTTTATGAAGGTTAGGTTTTAATTCAAAGAAAGCAACTTCCATAAAGGTGATGATAACCTTATACCTGGCACCGTTAAGCAATTTGGATTATCATTTAAGGATTAGTCAAGGTCAGACTGAAATTCTACTTGCTTACGGTGCCCCGACATTCTTAATAGTGTTGATGTCTTCAAGTTAAAATCTGATTTTCATAATGGTGCGGGTATCTTTATGTGGGACATTTTGTCTTGACAGTGGCTGATTTATGTAAGGGTAACAGCTCCTTTATGCTTTATGCTAACAGCATTTTTATACGGGCAGCCACTTGGAGTTGTAAGCTTAATGCGGCGTTTAATCTATTAGAAATCAGTTTAAGTTTCACCTGGTGTTATTACTGCACTAAAAGCGGCCATAGACGCCTTCTGGCCAGGGCGGGAATGTGCTTTCTTCCGGTAGTGAAAAACCTTCATTGCTTACAATTATATGGAAATTTCAAGTTAGTTGAACATTTCATCTGGTTCTCCAAAGTATGAAATTTTTCCAGAGGACAACTCAGTTTTCTAGGATATTGGTTGTTTGGCTAATCGATTAAAGTACAGCACACGAGGGTTATCTGCCTAATGGAAGGAAGCCTTTGTAGAAGGCCTGCTGATGGAACCGGCTCGAATTTATGTTACACACAGTGAAAATCATTAAAGCCTCAAGCAACTAGCCAAGTCGCAATGATTTGAATCCGCGTTAAATGAACACTATTCCTAAATAGTATATGTTCCAGAAATAAAAAAAAACTTCTATGCACATTTTCAGTTGGAATTCAGTAATTTCCTTTCCCCAACATTACTTTAAAAGCTATATTATCGTTCTTTAAAAATGGCACAAATTGCCATACTGATAGTTTGAAATTTATTTGCTTCAGTTTTACGCAAATAATGATCATAACTCATACCGCATATGGCCCATAATCATGCTAATTATGAATTACACTGGTGTGCAAAAATTAAGGACGAAGTCGAAAAATTAGCATATCAGCTGAACGAAGAGGCAGAGCGGACAGAAAGACCAATCAGGAGATTAAGTAAGGGGATGTACGGTAGCACATGCGCAGATATGCAGGTAGACGTAATGGGGGAGTGTCTGAGTAGTATGAAGCATGTTGTCGGTGTAAGATCAGTATTTCTGGCAAAGAGATTGCACGCCGTATAGCAGTTAAAATCACACCGAGTTGCTGCCTCAGCGAGAAATGGCGAATAATCAATCTGTTAGACGACATCTGGATGCTTTTACCCGAGGTCGAATCATTGGGAAGTTGGAGGAAGGCCGCAGTGCGACAAGTGTGGCTGCAGAGTTCGGAATTGCTCACAGCATCGTTTCACGACTTTGGAGACTACAGGAACAGCTATCCGGGGGTTTAGTAGTGGTCGTCCACGAGGAACCACGCCCGCAGATGACAGGTATATTGCCTTACAGGCCAGAAGAAACAGGCGGCAGACAGCGGGAGAAATCGCTAAACACACGACACAGGCGACTGGACGACCGATATCGCGTTTTACCGTGGCCAGAAGACTGCACGGTGGTGGTCTGTTTGCACGACGCCCTGTACGGTGTGTACCTCTAACGCCTGCCCATCGGAGAAGGCGTTCTCTGTGGTGCCGGGAACACCGGAATTGGAGAGACAATGAATGGGGACGAGTACTCTTTACAGATGAGAGCAGATTCAGTCTGAGTAGCGATTCTCATCGCATACTCATCTGGAGAGAGCGGGGAAGCCGCAATCATCCCTCGAACATCATTGAAAGGGACAGGTATGGAGGTGGCGGTGTTCTCGTTTGGGGAGGCATCATGCTTGGTAGTCGTACAGACCTTCACATCTTCGACGCAGGTTCAGTCAACGGGACCCGTTATTGTAACGAGATTCTTCTTCCATATGTGCGTCTTTTTAGAGGCGCTATGGGTCCGCAGTTCCTTTTCATGGACGACAATGCACCATGTCATCGCACAGTAGCTGCCGAACAGCTCTTAGAGAGTGAGGATATTGAACGTATGGATTGGCCGGCACGATCTCCGGATCTCAATCCCATCGAGCATGTATGGGATTTTCTAGGCAGACGCTTGGCAGCTCGTACCTTACCACCAGTAACGATTCCGGAGCTTCGATTGGCGCTGCAAGACGAATGGGCAGCAATGCCTCAACAACTCATTGACACCCTCATTCTCAGCATGGGCAGACGCTGTGAAACCTGCCTAGCAGTCAGGGGAGATCATATCCCCTATTAAAGACCGGATGTTTCTTGCTGGACACCCATCACAGGGATGTTTCGGCCTTCAGTCGCATTGCGCTCCATGCTACTTTTTCAATAAAGCTTCTTTTTATCCCTCTGATTTCTCTTTTAGTAAGTGTTGCTTACATTACTCATGTCCTTACGTATTGGGGATCTTACGGTATTAAATGTGTTGATTTGGAAAGCTTTTGTACAAAGTTATATTGAAAAAACCGTCTCGTCGTTAATTTTTGCACACCAGTGTAAGTAAGTTTTGCAAGTATTTCCGTTGTTTCATTCGCTTCTTTGCAAGCATGTGAAATGATCATACCTGTCAGTATATTCCTATATCTTTATATTCGAAAGCGCTGTGATCTCATTAGGTCGATTCTAGGTTTTTTACAACTCAATGAATTCGTACTGATTGCCCGCTTTGTGCATATATATACCATGTGTCATGTGCAGAGTAGATGCAATCGAGATATTTTAATAGTAAGTTGTTCAATGCACTCATAAATGTGTCGTTATAAGCTAAATCCTCTTGATTTTAGCAGTCTAAAACTAGGTCCACGAATTCATTGTGGCGAAAAGAGAAGGGGTTGCGCAAAAGACTTCTGCATCTTATATACGCATCTCCGTCCCAGTTCTGGTGGATGACACCCTGAACTGATCCAAGGTTACCCTATCCTTCTTCCCCTACGACCAATCTCTCGAAAGGACTGTCTAGTGGACAGTATTTTAAGTGCTCTATGCCGTAAACCACTATACGTTTACAAATATCCATGCATTCTCCGGCGTTTGAGGGTTTGGACCCAAAGCTATGGTAGCTGGCCTCTCTACCACTATATAACGTAGGGTCAGACATGAGTGGGAATCACATGATCTATTCATTCAGTGAAGTGGTTACTGCGAAGTATACCCAGAAAAGAAGAAAGTGCCGCTATCCTTTTCCGGAGAGATATAAAAAAAAAGAATCAGGAATCTGATAGATCAGCCATACTGACACAGTCAAACATATGAGACATGAGAAATCGCCTGGGAATTTCAGTAAATGTGTGATCCTATTACAAAATAATGCATTTCCTCACGCTGTCAGGGTTGTAAATCTGAAAATGGATACCTACACAGTGTTATGGGTTTTTTCTCATCCTCGTTCTGTTAAAAATATCCCAGAAAAGACAAATTACAAGACAGACGATAATGTTAAGAAGGCTATATCGGGAAATATACTAAAAACCTAAGCTATTAGAAACATTTTACATTGCATTTTAGAGCAAGCAGTTTGCTATGTCAATACATACGCAAAAATAGGCAGAAATGTGAATTGCTACTAAAACTTATGTGACGTAATTTCTCTAAATACGAGTGTTATTATTGCACTATCACGTTACATTTTGTAAATAGCTTAATTACATGAAGTGTTAACGTGCCTAAGAACTTTGAGGCAAGAAAGTCGACAAAATTTGACGGGGCACCGCCCCACAGCCGGGAGCATTGTTAAAATCTGATGAATTTCGTGACGCCACCTACAGAAATTAAATTACAGAACTTTCCCCCCTTTTTTTAATACACTCTAACTCTTTAGTACACTCTCGAACCACTAGACCCTAGCCTCTAAAGGAACTGCTGAATAGGAAGTTCCTCTGTGTTTTTTTCCCTCAGTTAAGATCGGAAATGATGTATAAAATGACAACAAATAACCAATGCTTCTATTATTTTGTTTGCCCCACAATTTATTAAAGAAAGATTTTTTTTTAATTTCGGAGATTTTTTACTTTTACATAGTATCTATTAATGGCTGGTGCTTATTTTATTCTAGCAAAACATTATTTGCAATATCATCAGGAAAAGTGGAATTAAGTGAAATTCCAGTCAGCTAGTGATCCTGATTTCAAGTGTAATTATTTTATTAAATAAAATTTAATTTTTGAGAATGACTTGAATGCTGATTCGGCACATATGAAGCAAAAGCACTATAAGGTATTTCTCCCGCCTTCTTAGCATGCCTTCGCGGTGTGGTGGTCAGCTCACTCGGCTCGTATTCGAGAGGTCCATGTTCGAGTCCCGGTGAGGGCAATGCTCCTTTCAAAAATGCCTAATGTCTCTACAGTGACGCCCGAACTAAAAAAGGTGGTGGATGATGATTCTCCGCCACCAGGATTTGGCGATTCGGTCCCCTAATCCCCAGTCGCCCTTTAAAAGAGGGAGTATATAAGGTATTTCTCTCGCCTTCTTAGCATGCCTTCGTGGTGCACTGGCCAGAACACTCGGCGCGTATTCGAGAGGTCCGAGGTTCGAGTCTCGGGGAGGGCATTGCTCATTTTTCATGTTTCCTGCTTCGAAATAACTTAGTGTCTCTACAGCACAATAACATTAAGAACTATACAGCAGTTGCAAAAACTAGCATTTGAAACATAACTGAGTTTGAAGTTTTTTTTTTTTTTTTTTTTTTTTTTTTTCTTAAAAATTACAAAAATATCATAGTGGAGTTACTAATAAAAGCTTTTCATATGGCTGTTTTCGAAACATGCATGCATATAAACGGTTATCGATTCGATATAAAAGATTGCTGGCCAGTGTAAATTCATGAGAATGGTTCACATGCATTATTAGTTGTTAAAAAGAATTACTTGATTTCTCAGTCAGCCACGTGTCCGGTTGAGTGCTCCAGTCTTTCTCTTTACCATGAGTATACGTTATGGGGATAGTCCATAATCTAAGCAAAGTAAAAAAAAAAAGAAAAGAAATTAATATTTGTTTTAAAAAAAATTAGTTGATTTCTCAGCAATTTAAAATTTTTTAGGAACAATTTTATTTTTAAAATTTTACAATGAAATTGAGTTTGGTAACGAAATTTTTATTGAATCAATGTCATTGAACAAATAAAAATTATATTCACGTGTTATCATTGAAGACCTCAAAAATTTCTTCGGAATCCAAATTGAAAATTTGCTGACTGACAACAGCTGATCCGTTGGTATAATTTCTATTGAATGACACGACAGGATAACCAGATTTAGATGTCCACGTTGACATGACATCTTTTACTCCAAGCAAATTCCTGTTCCACTGAAATATCGAAAATTATATATCCATTATCAGTTAGCAAAATATAATCTTTTATTTGATGAAAATAATCAAAGAGGAAGCGAGAAAATAAAGAAAGAAAAATAAATAAGGTGAAGAAAATTACTTTGATTTCCCTTTCTCCTTGCAAACTACTACTCCTTGCAAACAAAAACTAAACATTTGAAAATCATATATGACAACAGTCATACACTTTTATTCAACTGAATGTTAAATTTCAGAAACATAAAATTTTCGTTAATCGTAAAACTACAGATACTAGAGTAATAAGGTAAATGCATTACATAATTGAAAGAAAACGTTAAAAATTATTGTACTGATGGGCAAGTACTAAAAAGTGATAGAAATGAAATATAAATTCTTGTATAATGTGTTAATAGTAGCTAAGAAAGGTATTGGATGCGAGTCTATAAAGATACCGTTCTCTTTTCATGATCCTAATGCAAATAAAGACGCAAAAATCAAAATACAAAAAATTGGAGGAAGTGATACGCAAAGCTTTCCATGCGAAGAAGAACAAAAATACAGCCATCAGTTTAAAGGGAGGAATACGAGATGAAATAGAATACTTAAAGACATTTAATTCAGGTTGATAAACAAAACGAAACAAGAAGTGAAACAATTACCAACTTTTAAAAATATATAATCATTTATTATTTTATTGCAGTAAATTATTTAAGTATATACTTACTAAGTTTAGGTTCTGCCATAATTCGTTTTCAGTAGCGCTCTTGTAGGAATATTTCCAAAGATAATTCTGTAAAATAGTAATTTATACTTATTTTTAATGAACAAAAATACCTTTTTCTTTATAATAACGAATTAAAAAATTCCTTTCACTTTACGGAACATTTCTCAAGGTCTTCGAAACTGCATTACCGTAAACATAGAAAAAAATTGTACATATAATGGCAATCCGTATCTTTGGTTGTTTGAAATTAACCAACAGCTTAATGTACTTTAAAATTATAATGTTATTTTTTGCCATCAATCAATTAAAACATGAGTCGTATTGCTCAGAGCATTGTATAAATTCTGTATATTGACTCTTACAAAAATTTTATGTTGAAAAAATACAGAAGGGGAATGCCATTCTTTATCAGCGATAGAAGCACGTAGCAAACTCGTGTGCTCTGTTGTTAGTTTTCCTTACGTAAAGAATTTCATATCTTTCGAAAATCGAAGGCTGCATGCAAGGAACTTCAAATCATGAAAAAGGTTCAGGAATACATGAATTCCCCCCCCCTCCGAAAGGAGGGCATTTTTTTTTGTCTCTTTTTACACATTGGCCATTCCTACGGCCGGAAGTGGTGACCATTGTATTGTAGAAGCACCTAATAGGCGGCAACCGCTACCTCCTATGAAAGGACAAAGAATTTAAATCTATGCCTTCTCCGGGATTCGAACTCGGGCCCTTCGGTATCACAGTCAGTCAGGAATGCATGAATGTACCTCCAATTCGTCTAAATGTGTTCCTCCACGAGTAACGTAAATACCTGACAGTTTCCTTTAGAAGGTCCTGTATAAAAGGTTCATTTCCCTTAGGCAGATAGCCCTTGTGTGTTTTGCCATATTCAGTTAAGCAAACAAACAAAATAATTTGTGCAAAAACTGAAAGAACTTAAATTTATTGAATGTTCTATCTTTGGCAAAATATCAGACGAACTCAATATTGAAAAGTAAAAAGAGGAAATAATGAAGCATTTAAAAAGGAGATAATAGAATTCTGAAACCCCTGAGCTTAAACGATCGTTTAAAATGTGTTCAAGGTAAGTAATTCTTATAAAAGGGGCAAAATTTAAGAGACGAACACTGTGATTCCTACTACGTTCTTACTACTTAATTCCTACTAAGTAAAAAAATCATATCAAAAGGTAATTGATTAATTAAAACATATGTTTCCTGCATGTGAACAAAAGGATCGTACTACACGGCTCACCCATCTGATGCTCTCCATTTTGGACAGGATTCTCGCGAGCTCTCAGAGCAAAGAATTTTTACAAATTCTTTGCTCAGAGCTTCACACACAACGAAGAAAGTGAAGATGGGAAACAATGATAGACCAGTCGTCGCGCTCCATTAATATTACCCTCCGGGATAATACAAGCTGCCTTTTTGAACAATAGGAGCCGGCCCCGTGTATTTCATACCTCCAGCGCCGAGACAGCCGGCGTGCAGATCTTCACCAATATAATAAATGACCCCTCGCGGGGTAGCAAAAGGTGTCTGACTTGGCGTTAAAAGAAGGTTAAAGCAAAGTTTAACTGAAGTTGTTCCTGGAAGTGATTCAGCACTGTGTCACTGGGTCTGCAGTGTGAGATTTTGCAATGTATTAAGATTCTACTGTTTATTTTAATAGATTATTATTTTAACTCTGGTAATTTATTCACAAATTAAAGGAAGGCACAATTACGAATAAAGCTGTTTCTCGGTCAAGAGATACATTCGACAGGTATCCAATCGAAAATGTAAGGCAGACAAAACAAGACGAATAATTGCGGTTGAAAAGCGGAGAAAAAAAAATAATAACCTGTTACCAAGAATTAAATTAAGTTAATTGATTAATGCAAAATACACAAGGCCTATCTACCGAAAGAAGGAATGTCTTCATAGAAGACTTTCTAAGGGGATTTTCTAAGGCCCGTATTTGCATAAAAGATTGCGAAAACGTCATGCAGGTAATCCGTTCGCCGAGACGAACTATTAGTGTTTAGCCATCTTATCCTCTCGACCACAAACAGGCTAATGTTACCAAGGCAAAAGGCATAACAACAAATTTTAGACACATCTCCCATTCTTTAATACACATTTAATATTTTAATTCTTAATTTTCAGGTACGAGTTTTTCGTGGTTCGAGTTTCGTATGTTGCATATGTTATTGCAAATTTAACAAGCTAAACATTTCGGATGTCGTTAGATACTTTAGGATTGGATTATTTCATTTAAATAAAGCGCATGAGGGATAGCTATCTAATCTCCAACTCAGTTCTAAACGAGAATATCGTTTAGAACTGAACTACCATGAAATCTGCTACCATGAACTACCATGAAATTTTTGGGTGGCTCCTTCTTGGTGTTGCATTTTCAATGTCGGTTAGTGTATTTATAATAACTTAGTAAAAAAATTAATATTTTAATCATAACAATAAAATTTAACACACATCCCACTTTATTTTATATTTATTTATTTATTTAAGTTGTAAAACATCTGGGCTTCAAACATTATCGGAATCGGTAAGACAGCTGCCGCTACACTATCAAAGACCACAACCAGTCTTCCTGTACTTCGACTTAAATGTTGGTTTACAGAATGTATCCTGACACCACTTTAGTGCCAAAATGTAAACTGCTTGAAAATCAAGAAATTTGGAACATATTCATATCTTCAGGCATTCTCAATACAGTTTATTACAGATCTTACTTGTACTGGGACTCGTATCTCTCATTACGTCACGAATTAATTTACCACATTCTACCAGTTGTAATATTGTATGAACTTTCTTTTCTTCTTAGCCATATAGGTCACGATATCTTTATTATATTTTGAGACTAAATTAAAATATGATATGATTCCTTCCTAACTGAACCTTCTAATAGGATGACGATCAAGAATATTTTCGCCTTAAAACTAAACTGTCTATTCATTCTTTATTCCCAATATAGCCTCTCAAACTGCTTATAATAATATCGCAAATTGCAAATGAGTTTTTGATGTGCGAGTTGAACTGATACCCTACATATTAGAAGGTACAACATGACATTAAAAAATAATAGTCATAAATAGATTGCTTTGCAATATATTCCTGTACATACCTTATCAGGTTCAATGTTTCTTCTAACCTTCTTCGGAAACATACAATGACCTGACTAGGAACAGAGAGCTTACTAAAGCTATGTTCACTAATTGTAGTAAGTAGACAGGATACAGACGAAGGGTATACAAGACCCTTTATTTTTCTTTATATACAATGACTTCCGTACTTCGGAATACAATGACCCTCCACTCGGGGTCTAACGTAAAAGGTATAAAAATAAAACTAAACTCTAATTTAACTTTAGAATAAGATTGGCCTTATAATAACAGGAAGCGTATGTAGCACAGAGACTGTGAACACTACAATACGTTTAATTTATCAAGAGGATTAAAACCTCTGGCCTGGAAGGCAAATAGCAACTGCGTAACTTCTAAGGTAAGCGGCCTGCTTCGAACTCACGGCTTCCTCTCTTCTGCTTGGCAAAAAGGCCACACTTAAATACTTGGCGTTCGCCAGACAACTTTGCATAAACTCCTTCACGCTTATAATTCTGGCCGGAAGTAGAAAATAAGAAGTGATAGTAAAGATTTAAAATAAAATAAACGTTAGTAAAACTTAAGATCCTTACAACCTTTAAGCCTTTTCGAAAGTTTTCTTCTTTTATAAAATGTTCAAGCATTCTTACAATTGCGGCACCCTGCAAGAAGATTTAAGGTAAATGTTAGCTGTAGTTATAAATATATATCGCGAGACTAAAATAATGGATTAGTTTACATTAACAAAATAGAAAACAATTGCTTTTAAAATCGGAATTTCAAATGTAGAAGAAAACCTGATACCTTTAAATAAGAAATTTCATCAAAAAATTCTAAAACTTCGTATGGATGAACTGGTGCTCCCATGGCTCTGCTAGATAGTAAGCTATCAGTTTCCATCACTTCATACACAGATCCAATGAACGTATGGCTCTAAAATAAATATATATGATTCTAAATATATTTAATGCTGCTAGTTACATATTTATCGTAGAACAATATCCTCATATTAAATAAACATTAAATAAATATATTGTTCCTATGTAAAGTTGTGAAATATACATTTTTTTTTTCGTATGTAGCATTAAAAAAAAGGAAAATTTAAGCTTGTACGTTTCGTTCTGCCTATTTTTTCCTCCATAAAAATTGAAGAACAATCCTAAAATATCATTAGCGAAGAATTTAAAATTAAGGAATGCAACTTTATAAAAACTTCGGTAAATAAATAAAAACTCCATACTTTGGAATAAAACTGTGCAAGACGTAATTTCGATATTTCAGTTATAAAAATAGTCATAAAAATCTCTACTATAACTTAGACCAGGGGACCAGAAATTCCTCTTCCGAACCTATAGTTTACTACTATCGAAGCCAGCAAGTAGCTTCGAATAATTTCTTAAATGAATATTCGAAATATGTTAGACAGCAAGTGTGATCGGCTGGGCCGTTTGCATAGAATTCATTGAAACATGGAAAATAATAACTTGAAATTGTTTATCTTTGTTTACAGTAGAAATTAAAGTCCATAAAGCAGTGAATTTCTTATTTAAGGCTGACCTAAAAATACAGTTCACATAGCAAATGCACAAATTATTCGTTCTACAATTTAATCAATTATTTTAATAGTCGTTCATTATTTAAATGCGTAATGAACGAGTTCTTTTAATTATTTTATAAATATTTCAGGGTATATAAAAACAATTTATATTTATAGTCATTCATTATTTAAATGTACATTGAACGAGTTCAATTAATTATTTTATAAATATTTCAGGTTATATAAAAATTATATACTTTATTAAAATGATAAAAATGATAAAACTTGTATAGTTTACAATTGTATTTTATGACTTACTCCGTGTTGTTTGGTTTTATGATCCTATTTTGACTGCATTGAACATTAAAATCTACATTATGAATAAACGTGTTAAAAAAACAATAGTTTTCTAATAAGAATAAACATACAATATTCCAATCTGGTTCCATGTGTTCGATGCCTTGGTACATGTAATAAGTAGCAAATCCCTCATTAAGCCACAGATTATCCCACCAAGCTGGAGTGACGAGATTTCCGAACCACTGAGAAAAGAAAATGCATTAAACGTCAAAATAAGCTTACTAAGAAGACTTTCGGGTGCAAATGTAAGTTATTTTAACAAAGATAATAAAAAACATAATACCAAAAAATAAAAAATTAATTGAGGCATAAATATCATCACTTAGCAGAAGTTTCTACTAAAGATAGCTGACAAGTCTGGAGGATAGGATGGATTCTTTGACTATAGCAAAGCTGATCAGGACTATTTTCATATTTCTATTAAGCTTCACTGAGGTTTCGATTGGGAGTTCCTCGGAGAAAGCAATCCAAGAGTAGCTTACCCGTCTTTCCTTACCACCCAACTCAAAAATGGATTTTTCGAATTGATAGGGTTTTGTTTTAGTGCCTCCATTAAAACAATGATTCTTAATTCATGTTTTTTTCGAGACCGGGACCCGAGCTCATCGGCGTACTTTGGCTGCCATACTGACCAAGGCTGTGCTTTAACGATTGGATCTTACAGATGTTCCTTGGGGGAAAATTTTCTATCTTCTAGAAAATTTGATTAGCAATATATTTCCTTTTTAACTGGTAACTGAAGGAGAAACGGAAGAAGCACGCTGTTAGATTCTAAGGAGTGTCCCCTTTCCACAATGACACTACAGTCATAACGACTTTCTAAGCAACACTGGCTCATATTTAACTTTTAACTGCTGTCGTAAAAAAGAGGTTACATTTCTATTGTTGTGGTGTCTGTCAGATGGCCAATCTTATTTTTTAATATAAAATATTATAATATAATTAAGAGCTTATTTTATAACATTGCATACAAAATAGCTAATCTTCTCTTTCATTTGAAAGAGAGAAAGCACCTTTCCTTGGTAGCATAAGTGTTTGAGAGACACCATAAGCACAGTTAAAGGTTACGTCATGTAAAAGAAAAACCTCAGAAACTCTCATGTAGAACGTCAGATCCTCGGGGAATGAAACTAGTTTCGGCTGTTGGTGAACAAAATTTGATAGCGAAATATAATCAATGAAGGTAATATGGAGCTATGAATATAAAGGGATATCCTTAACCTAGTCTCTATATTAGACATTTTATTGTTATATAATTAAAATAGTTTCAGTGTTCCATTTGTAATAAACTAAGATTAGCACAGAACTGTATTATAAACATAAATGCATTCGAAAAAAATTAATAAAAATTATTAAAACATTAAAAATGATTTTCTATATAACTTATAATTGCTTATCATCCATTAATGGTTTTTGCGTCGTATACAATGCACCAGTCTTTCATTTTCTAAGAAAAATGACTTCCTTGTACGGTCTCTCAAATTATACGCATTTTTTACTACATTTCACTTAAACTTATTTCCTTGAATTTCATTAGAGATATATTTATCAATCAGTCAGTTCAGTTCTCACTTCTTGGCAAGGCAAAAAATACATAAAAACTCAGAACATTTCCATTAAAAATTGTTCTGAAACACCAAATACTTAAAAACAGTTAAAAAAAAAATTACAATTAAAATTAGAGTTTCTACGCAGAAACAAGCAATTCGGCCAGTAGGCAGAAAGACAAAATTTTCGGTGAGCAAAACTGAAAGTTAACTTTTGCTCACACTGAGCAAAAATACACTGAAGTTAGTGCACTAACTAACTTAATTCACTATTCTTCACTTACACAACTTTTAAATTGTTGATAATTTACACAACTATTGCATGCAGATTAACTATAGGCATAAAAACCTTAAGAACATAAGAACGACATGATTCAGTCACTTTTAAAGCAAAGAACGTACAAAATACAAACATATAAGAATAAAAAACTGAGCTCACAGAGCAGGGTAACACAGTGGATGCATATACATATGTATATGTAATGTGGTCAATTGCAAAGAAAAAGAAAGATACACCATTAGATGTTATTGCAGTCCCATATACGAAATTTCAACGTTCTGCGGCTACTCGCTTTTGAGTTATGCGAGATACATACATACGTTCATACGAAAAAAAAAATCTCTTCTGAACCCATTTTAAATCCATTTCACAATACATTTTGAAAAAAAAAAAGAGTAAAAAAGTCCTTTAGTCTGTCTTTTACTTCGTATAAGGAAGTAAAGAGGTTTATTACGATTCTGAAGAGATAATTAGCATTTAAAACATTTAGAATGAAAGCTCAAAATGTGTTTATGTATTTTAATGTAAGCAGCTTAAAAGAGTAAGTCACAAAAGGAAAAAGCATCCATTAATTTAATTTATTAAAGTAAAGTTGACTGATTTCACAAAACTTGGACAGAAAAAAAAAAAAAAAAAGGATGGCCAAATTTCAAGAAAATTTGTTATGCTTGCCGTATTTACTAAAAGAAATATATCATTAACATATAGGCTTCATGAATTATCAGAAATCATTCAAAATTATCGGTTAGGATAACAGAAATACGATTGCGCAATAATACAATCACATTGTAGAGACATTATGATTTTTTTTTTTTTTTGGAAGCAAGAGAGATGAAAAGTTAACAACCGCCTTCGCCGGGAATCGAACCACGGACCTCTGGAATACCGGCTCAGTGTGCAGAACCACTACACCACGAAGGCGCGCTAAGAAGACAGGAGAAACACCTTATATACTTCCCCTTTTTAAAGGGCGACCAGGGTTTTAGGGTACCCAGATGCCAAATCCTGGGTGAGGAGAATCATCATCCAACACCCTTTTAGTTCGGGCGCCACTGTACAGACATTAGGTATTTTTTGTAAAAGCCGGAGAGATGAAAAATTAGCAACCGCCTTCGCCGGGAATCGAACCACGGACCTGTGGAATACCGGCCCAGTGTGCAGAACCACTACACCACGAAGGCACGCTAGGAAAGCTGGAGAAATACCTTATAACGTAAACCAAGGAAATTTAGTGAATTAAACTTATAATAAAATCACTTTATTGCCTTATTTCTTAGCGTAGTTGCTTAGGCGCAGTTACTTAATTCAAGGATTGTTTACCTGATGGGCAAGTTCGTGCGCTATTACCAACATTATGGAAACTTTCCTTTCCGTTGAAGATCTTTCAGGATCGTAAAGCAAAGCGGATTCATCAAATGTAATAAGACCCCAATTTTCCATTGCTGCATGCAAGAAACTTGGCACAGCCACTAAATCTATAGATTACAAGAGAAGAGTTAAACAAAGCACATTTCAAAAAAAAATTGCTGTCATAGTCATCGTCTATTAGCTCAAAAATTTAAATACAGAATACCTGTTTTAGGCATAGTATAAGGAACTTCTAGGTAATCTCCGAAGAATTTTAAAATATCTGGCGTTACGGATAGAGCAAGTCCACCGTAATCAGCCATATCTGTACGGCTCCATACTTGGACCTGAAATAGTCAATAATACTTCTCAGAATCTTAAAGTTTAGATAATGTAAAATGAGTTAAAACGAAAAATATCGACGCATATGGATGATACTAAGATGTAGTGTAAAATATATAATTCAATGCTTTGTAAGAATTTTAATTAGATCAAGTTCAGAAACATCAGTACATACGCCTTCCTTTCTAGCATCAGAGAAGGGCTTCAATTCCCCAACAACAAAAGCCAGCAAGTACGTCGACATTGGTGGGGTTTTCTGGAAAGTTACCATTTCCCATCCATCTGGCCTAAAATAAATTTTAGATTTTTAATTTTTTTAATATTCATTGAAATTATTATACTAAGAGTGGAATTATTATATAAGATCTTGCATGATCTTGCACTTAGCTTAAATTTCTAGAAAAAAATCCCTTATATACTTACAAAGGCTCTACATGTGCTTCAGGCATATTGGATAGTGATATCAGTCCTTCTTTTCGAATAATACTAAGTTGAAATGTGGCTTTTAGACCAGGCTCATCAAAACATGGGAAGACTCTCCTCGCATCGCTTGGTTGAAATTGGGATGACGCTATCCAGCTTTGAAACAAGGTACTTGTAAAGACAAATGTATTGTGTTAAATAAATAAATTTCATGCGATACAAGAAGAAAGAACTTACCTTACATTGCCATTATCACCTATGTAACTACTGCGATAAAGACCAACAGAAAGATTATTAATGAGACCATTGAAATCTATTTCCAGTATGTAGAAGGCTTTCTCCTTAAGTGCTTGGTTTAAGCGAATGGCAACCAATTGTTTTTCAGCATCTACAGAAATATTAGTGCCGTATGATGAATTCTCCTTCAACTCTTCTAATGGGATAATACTTGCTGAGAGCACACTGAGATCACGAGCGTGTAAAACAATCATCTAAATTAAATAAATAAAAATATATAAATGTCTTGAATAACAGACATGTAAATATTAAACCCAACGACATATAATTGAAAAGATTGTTATACAAGTATTATAACTTATATTGTAGTTCTAAAATTGAGCTTGCTCTATAAACATTTAAGTCACTTTTTAATCCTTTATTTATTTATTAATTTATTAACTCACCAAAGCAGTATACGAGCTCCTAGAACGTTGGGCGAATAAATACACTGCTGGCCACTAAAACTGCAACACCAGGAAGGAATGATCTGACGAATGTCAAAATCACATGAAAAGAAGAAGTTGGGATATGCAAATGTTTAGTATTTCAGCGCATTTAGACGACACAAGAAGGGAGAAACGACATCTTATGTGTGTGTGTGATTATGGCAAAGCCTCGAGGGTTGTCTGCCTAAGGGGAGGGATGCCTTCGTGGAGGACTTTTAAGGGAAACTGGCTCGTATACACGTTACACATGGGAAAACCACGAAAACACCCAGAAACGACATCTGAAGCACTGCATAAAAGAAAAGTTGTGTAGCAGATTTCTCATTCGGAAAGTGTATTGTAAGGTGGTAGTTTGCTCAGAATATCGCGTTATGCCTCGAATAACAAGAGGAAATGCTTACCAGCAAGTTTCGAAATTCGATAGAGGCAGGATCGTTGCCTATCGAAAGTGTAGATTATGGTTTCGTGATATCGCCATTCGCACTGGTCAACATCCAACCACTGTCATGCGACTATGGAATCAATGGATTGCTGAGGGTCATACTGAACGGCATGCAGGATCTCAACGCCCTCCCATGACTAACGCCAGAGTAAACAGACATATTGTGAGATCAGCCCTGCAAACTACATCACGGATCATTAGTCAGGAAATGGGCATGTTTGCAGCAAGCCTAGTATCAGCTCGCAAAGTGCGTCGAAGTTTGAAGCAGCGTGGACTATCAGCAGAGTGACCATTACTTCGGCTTCCCTTGACAATGCAGCATAGAGAGAGACGGCGACTCTGGTGCTCCAAACGACAAAGCTGGGTACAGGAGTGGCACAATGTCGCCTTTTCAAACGAGTCCCGGTTCTCCGTTCTGATGGCCGTATACGTGGCTGGAGTGTCCGAGGAGACCGCACGTCGACTGCTTCCATTCGATATCGGCATAGGCGCCCTGCACCTATGCTGGATGGTTTGGACAGCCATTGGGTACACTACACGCACTTCTCTAGTTCGGTCAACGGTAATTTGAACGCAGATGGGTACATTTCTGTCATCTTACATCCAATGGTTATGCTCTATTTTCAGAGCCCCCAAACGCCATGTTCCAACAAGATCATGCAAACTACATGTTGCAAGTCGTGTTTGGACCTTTCTCGATTTACAGGGTATTCGATTGCTGCTCTGGTCTGCAATGAGTTACCCATTTCTGTCATCCAAGCCCAGTTTGATTCCATGCCTAATAGGATACGGGCCGTTTTAGCTGCCAGGGATGGCAGCTGTTTCTACTAATTTCGCACCCTTGTAAACCTCCAAAATGCTTACAAATTTAATCAGTTTGTCTTCATGCCCCACTGTTTACGTCAATAAATATCTTTTTTGTATTTGCTTTCCTTCATGGTGTTGCAATTTTAATGGCCAGCAATGTACTTACAACGTTTTCAGCTCATTTAGCAGCTTCTTGTCTCCGCACTTAAATCAATCAAAACTTCAAAAACCATAAAAAAACATGTCTCAAATTATTTAAATATTTTATAAACGATATTTCAAAATAAGATCAACATTTGTCTGTAACGCCACAGGCAGTTGTCTCAAATGGTGGCTATCTTTGAAGCTTGGAATTGCTGCTGCTACAGCCTCGTTATCAAAACAGTGTACAGGCTACTTCGTAACAAAGGCTTTTACACAAGAAAGGCTATGATATGTGCTCCTTTCGCGAAAAATTTCAAAACAAAGTTAGCATGCTATTTGTGTTTCACATGAGGAAAACTGGAAAACATGCATTCCTTTCCTTCAGAAATCTAATCTACAGTGATACCTAAGGTGTAACCTGTAAAAGTAACCTACAGTGTTTAGTGATTTCATCTACTTGGACGGTTAATCGGAGTAACATGGATCAAGACAATTAAATAAAAAGTTTTTAAAAAAAAGAATAACAATAAAGAAGATATCAAAACAACGGAATGATATATCATAGGGCTAGATATGTTAGAAGATCATTAGATAAATTAGATTTAAACCAAAGCTATAAAAGCTTTGAAAAAATTTCAATTGTAGCATAAAGATGTTTATCCTGTTAGAAAACACTTACACTTTCCAATATTGACTTGACAGCAGGACATAATTTAAAAAAAAAGTTATTACCCTGCGGATAAAACCAGCAGAGAAGAAAAAGTTGGAAGGCAGATTTTTCTCTGTTAAAAGATAATAGGTATAACAGTCTAACCATGCATGAATCCTCCTCCATGAAGTTTAAAGATATATACTGGGAAGCAAGATATAGATTACCCTTTTCGCTCTCAAGTGAGCCACTACACTGTGTAGAGGTTTCTTATTTCAATTTTAAACATTTAAAGTTTGATACCTGTTCTAGACTTCTCAACTTCCCCTCACATTCTCTCGCCAGGATGTAAATTTAAAGTTAAGTGAAGTGCTATTTAAACGCGTGAATATCTCAGTTTATTCAGAGCGTGTTTCGCTAGCCCAGCGCACGTTTCGTTGTTATTTCGCGGTAACGCTAGTAAGCCTCTTGGCCTTATCAGATTAGTATTACGGCGGTTAGATTCCTGTGAGTCCACCTCTCAGACGTACTAACTTAAGTGTGATCTTGCACTGTTTATTTCAGGTTTGACTTGTATTATATTCTACGTTTTAGTTTCCACCGCAAGTTGACGGTGTCTTTGTAACGCACGAAGTCCGTGCCTTTCTGTTAACTAGTTTGAATTAATAAAGGCTTATTTTTACCCTTTGTTTGAGTCAGTAGTTTTTATTCACGCCTATGCGAGAATTCGCCAGGTCATTTTAGGGTATATTCTAGTTTATGTGGAACAAGAGAGACAGACTCTATAACACAATAATAAGCACAAAATTTTATTCAGAGCTCAAAATTGTGGGGTTTGGAAAAAGCTAGAAAATAGCTGGGAAAAATAGATTAAGTTAGGTTAACGAAATACGGCAAAGGGCAAAGAGGGTTACCTGCCTACTAAATAGAAAGATACGTAAAGGATAGCATACGGATATCAAACTTTATCTTTCGTAAAGAAAAAAAAATGTTGTAATCGGAATTATTTCAAGCCAAATATCTGTTCTAATGAAAAAAAATTGTAAAGTTAATTTTAAAAAATTATAACTATGTTGAGCTGGCTATAAAGACGTTTTCAAAGTTTCGTCATCCACAGTTAATATTACAAGAGCAAATTACATGGTATATTACCGTTTTTTTTTAACCTAACCCCTTCCCTCTATTAAAGTTATCATCTTTATGTCATTTGTGTATATGTATCATCTTTTGTCATTTTTTCCGAACGTACTTCTACAGCTACGTTTCTAAGACCTACCAGCTATTACAGAAAGTGTCTTGAAGATATTGAAACCATCAGCTGGTAAGCTATGAAAGCCAAATGACGCAACGAGAGTTAATCAGATCAAAAGAATTAGGCAGAGAATGAGCGTGCCATTTTCACTTAAAAGGAATTATAGAATTTTCTTTCCTGTAGACTAGCATCTAACCTTTAACACTGAGATACTAATCCCCATCTCTGAAACGTCTATTTTCCAATGTTCTCAGTTAAAAATATTTATGAGAAATTTTAATTATCCATTTTCCAAATTTTATCCAAAACCTCTTTCATATCAATTACGGCTTGAATAAAATTGATTTTAAAATAATTTGTTTCAGCGGAGAGATAGTATATGATTATTTAATATTTATTGTGAATGGACATTTTAGGACAATAAAGGCTATTTTTAAATTTTTGACGCTGAAAGAATAGAAATTATAAAAGAATAAATTGAACATAAAAGTTTGGTAATTATTAAATAACATTTAATAAATTATATTTATAATGCGCCATAAAAAAATATTTATCAGAAAATGCATGTGAAAAATTTTTCAAATGAGAACACCTAAAAAATGTAAAACTTTTTTTCTCCTTGTATTAACTATTTGTATTAATAACTTGTAACTACTTGTAATAATATCTTTTTCAAATTAGCTCCCTTAATAACGCAAAACAGCTCACTTAATAATGCAGATTTATCCGCCTAAGAGAAGTGATGCCTTCAATGAGAATTTTCTAAGGGGAAATTGTCTCCTGCTTACATTGCATATGAGGAAAAAAACTGAAATTCCATGCAGCCAGCCCGTTTGTCAAACTTTGAAAAAGGCTCGAACTGCAAGCTTTCAGCTGGCTTATTCTCTCGGCCACCAGTTGACGTATTTTGTCTCTAAATACGTTGTAATGATAAAGAAGATCTTTAATAAAATAGTAAAATTTTAACTGTACTTCTAATCTGAAGAATAAACATTTATTTTTTTCCGTTCTCAAGGCGTACTGTGCTCTTAAAATATTCTAGTAAGATTTCAGAATGTATCCCAATTAGTGAAAGACGAGTATAAATGGGGAAAATATTTAAGGTAAATAATTCTTTTGCGACAAGCATTAAAATTCATTCTGGGAATTAGGAGAAAAGGTGTTAATTAATAATTCAAAGAAATTTAGAATAAGCTCTTGCATAAATTTTCTTATCATATCTATATGGGATCGAATAATTTCCCTTTCAATTAAACTAGCAATTACAGGCTGTACCGATAAATTACACTAGAAAATAAAGAATAAGGTAAACAAATCAATAACCAAAGATCATACCTTGAAAAAGACAATTTTACTCGTCCTACTTATAATCGGTAGTCTGTCAGAAAGGTAAGGTTACTCGACTATATAAGGATGTGTTAATCATAGTTCTTTAAAGTATCAGAAGAAATAAAACTTTTTAAATAATTCTGAGTTGAATAAAGAAATCGATGAATTTTTAATGTTCTAAATTAGTGGTAGACTCAAATTGCATGCAGGCCATATGCATGATATGAAAACAGCAGAAGAAGGAGAATTTTTTTTTTTTTTTTTTAACAAAATGAAATACTTTAAATAAATTTAAAATTTCGCTTACAAAATGTTTGTCAAAACATACATACAGTTAATTATATCGCAAAGGAAAATAATTCAAATTAATATTTACTTTCTATTTGAAATATAAAGTATAGTACCAGTAATATATTTTTGTTGGTTACACTTTATAATTCGAATATATTGACAGCTAAATATTAAATTCTTAGACTGGCATTTCTTTCAAAGAATTCTAACGTGTTTAATTAATCATTACTTAACTTATCTTAATTTAAATTAAAACTAAACAAATTATGAAGTTATAGTTAGCATCAATAGATTCTAAGTTTCAGAGAAAATTCTTCAAGTAGGACAAATCTTGAGAATAAATGATTACAACCTATTTTCATTTTCTTATTTGTTACATTTTTCTTCGACATATAAATAAAAATACATATAATTGTAAACTTCTTTATTTCTCAATTTCTTTATTTTCTACTTTATTTATATTTACATATTTCTTTATTTGTATGTAAACTTCTTTTATCTTCTACAAACTTCTTTATTTCTCACTTCACCTTGATTCTTGGAGACATTCCTATTCTGGTAAAGTTTGTAGCTTTGGAGAGAAATTGCTAGAAATTATTTTAGTCACGGATTTTAGATGCTCATTGGTTAACTATATTCTTTTCTTACTAATTTTTAACTGTGGAAAGAAGCTGCTCCCATATATGCTATCCCAAACAAAGCAGTTCTTCTTAGTGTAGAAATTCGTAACTGAGCTTATTTATTTTTTGACGTATATCATGAAAGTCAATAAAATACGTATCTTCGAATATCTAAATAAGATTTATATTGCATTGTAAAGTAATTAGCTCCATCTATGGATTTTCTCGTGCGTTATTTCTGTTCGTTTTTAATGGAAATGGAAAAAAATGAAAATTCAGACTTCAAATAATTAAAATTTTGAAATATTTTCAAAACCGTATTTGCAACAAATACATAATTGCGTCACAGCATAAAAATGCTTCAGGGGCCGCGTGCGGCCCGCAGGTCACCGATTTGAGACTACTGCTCTAAATAACTTCCCAATGACATATTTAAATATGTACTTTTCAATGCATCAGCTTATTTCAATTTCTTTTGTATTAAGCTCTATATTATCCACCATCAAAATTTCGAAACTCACGTTGAAATAATGTAATAACATTCTAAAAATAGCCTGATATTAACTGTATGGGTCCAATTTCTTCAGAAACAATTTTCTATAAAAAGGGTAATTCTAAGTTGAAAAGCTCGTTTTAAGTCACTATCTCCCAGTACGTCCTGTCATTCCATCCATTGGTTAATTAGAGCTCCGTGAGAGACCTGCCTCACCTTGGATGCAAGAGATAACACAGGCCAACTATACAATAAGTCTTCTCAATTTGAAAATTTAATTGAATTTTTACGAGTAACGAAAATTTAGGGTAATGTATTAAAATTTTCTAAATCAAAGATAAACATATTTAATGTAAATTATGCCGTTACGTTTATACATTACGCAAGACTTTTCTTTTAATCGAGTATAGATTTACAAATTATTTTAGCTTGAAACACATACTATATTTATGCATTTATACTTCGTTTCATAAGTTTTAATTTCAGAAAGGGAGTAAAATGTTAATTTCGTGCTAATTTTAATGTGACAATGAACAACAATTCGTAGAATTTATCCCTATCAAAGTTTTACCATCAAATTCTTTCAGAATATTTTACGCAGCTTTTGCAGGGTAAGGTCAGCTACTATAGTTATCCTTTCACAGTAAATTTGTCTCTACGTTTTCATTTTACAAATGTAAATTACTTCCTGTTTAAGACTGAGGAAGGATCTTTAATAGTCATCGTTTTAGACTTATGTTATGATAAAGGGCAGTGACTATCGTTTCGCACAATGGTAATATTTCAGTTTAAGCCATAGTTACATATTGGTGATTTTAAGCAAAATAAGGATTTCAGTTTAAAGCGATACAATATAATAATACATACTTTATTAATTAGCCTGATTTTTTTATAGTAATCAATATATAGAGCTTCTTCTGCTAATTAAATCAAAAGTTTTTATGCGGTATCAGAAATAATATGTCTATGAGGTTGAATTTAAAAGAAAATTGAAAAAAATTCAGATTATTAATAATATAAACACTAACTCACGGTCAGTTTAATTCATCTTATAGCTTTACATTCAGATAATCAAAGTATAAAAAAAATTTAAATGATAGCTTTTTATCCATTTTAACACATTGTTTATAAGTGTAATTATTATTATTATTGTTTCCTTAAAACAAAATAAATTCCAGTTTTATTTTTTCAAATATGAATTCAGTATTTAAATGCCACATATTAAGGTCACGTTACTATATTCTTAATTTAAACTAATATTTTAGAGAATACTCTTCATATTAACAGATATAAATTACATTCTAATACAAGAAGAGAGTAAAGGCTTCTCTTACCTTGGTTCGTTTTATGCATTCAATAAGTATTTCAACTTTTCCATCTGTTGTAAAATTATAGTCTGGTGGCATGAACAAACGTAATGTCAGATTATAATGATGTGGAATGACATGTTCAGGTAACATTCCATTGACAGTGTTCTCAAATGCTCCATCGTTCTCAATACCACAACACTCCTTCGGTGCAACTCTCTCAGCGAATCTGAAAAGGCTAAAATTTGTTTGTGGCAATTGTTCAACAATAAAACCACCACACCAAGCAAATAGAAATAAAATTGCTAATGCTAAAACTGCGAACTGAATTCCCCTCATAATTCTAAAGTATAGACTTCTTTCATTCTTGTCATTTTTTTGATAGGCAATGTCAATCATTTCATCGTATATTTGGCTCATCTTATGGTCGTTTATAGCGCAAAAACGTAAAATATATTAAACGTTGATCTGAATCTTTAATTTTTTCTGAATTTCTACCTCTTGCAAGGAAAAACTGCTAATGTTCTTCAGGCATGTGTTGCACTCATTTCAGTCATCAGTGTCCTGAGAAATATACTTGCACCTAAGGAATATAATAATTTTAAATAAAAAAATGATTTACAAAGAAACTCGCACTAAAACCGCTTCGAATTTCAATCGGTAAATCTTACACGAGTAACCATAACTATGCATAAGCTACGAAAAAATTTACTATTCTTGGGAAATTCATGTATTTTAACCGGTGTTCTGACCAGCGCTATTAAAACTGATGTTAACGTTATTGTATCATCTCAGGATAAATAAAATCATTGCATTCACTACAATGTTTCCCAATAATTATCACAAAATTGAGCAAGCAAACTATCTTTGAACTTAGTTACTTCCCCAGAGTGGAGCAAACGTATAGAGACAGACCCTTGAACTTCCACATGAAATTCTGTCACCACTGACACTGAAAGTGAATGTCAAGAACCTATTAACTCTCAAGACCTGTTCATCCGGTTAAGTAGAGTTGGATGGCCGTTGGTATTTTGCTCCCTTTCACTTTTATACCAAACTGAAGATTCTCTCTCTCTCTCTCTCTCTCTTTTCCCCCTACATATGAATTAAAGACTGGAAATGAAGAAGTGAACATACAAATATCACTAGGTGAATTAAAGAATGCAGAAAAATGTCATAAATGTAAATACATCCCAAAAACCAAACCCAGAAACCAAACCCAGAAAATGAGATCATGAACTTATAAAGAAAAACTGTACATAAATTAAAATTGATTAAATATCTCTTATAATTCCACATTCAGTGATGAGAAGAAAATTTAAATTACCAATTTAATTTTAATTTTTTTTATTTTAATTCTAAGAAAATCCGTATTCTGCAATCACCAAGACTGCCATTATGGAAGTTTCTTTAATACGATAACATCTTTGTTTAGACATTGAAATTTAAGAAATGTAGACACGTTAATTCTACAATCGTCTTCCAGACAGCTTTCTTGGCATTTAAGGAAAAGAAACTGAGGTAGTAATAATAGCACCATTTTAACTACATATTTTACAATTTTAAAAAGGATGAAAAAAAATTATGTTAAATTTTTCAGTTTATATAGACATATACTACATCTGCCCAGATGTAAGATAACGTGTATCTTCTTCAAAATTCACTTCTGAAAATCGTACTCGACTTACCTGCATAACCAAATATTTAAACTTATATTATAAGCAGATTTATCACTTAACCCTTGATTTTATGTCACTATATTTATTTTCTTAGTTTTTATCTCAGAATATTCTTAAATATTTCTCTCAGTTTTTGAATTCCAAGCTGCTATTGGAAACATTAACGCTGGATACCGCCATTCACTTGGTCTGATTGTTACCTATGTCTTATATATATTATAAGGAATTGTCCCTTTTCCCAGTGAGTTCTCTCATGATGTAAGCGCTTATCACGTCTAGCTAGCAAGTGGAAGATCCCTGGTTCGAATCCTCGCGAGGTATTGCTGATTTTTCATGTTTCCTGGCCCAAAAACTTCACGGTCTTCGCAATATATTACGCAGCGATGCGATCTGCTATAAAATTTCGTAACTCCTATATGAAAAACTTTGACATATTGTCAACGAACTCAGATATGTCAGGAGTATTCCTCTTTGACAGGAGCCTTGCTTTGCTCTCGCTTGCTTTGGTCTAATTGGTTACATTAACAAATCATTTCTCAAGTTTATGTTTCTGAAAATAATTAAATTTCAACCATTTTGTGTAAGATGCTGAACGCAATAATCAATAATCATAAGAATTACGCATCAATGTCATTGATGCTTACCTTTCGGATGGAACGGAATCAATTCCAAACATAAAATGGTTACGAAGTACAAGCAAGAAATACGCTAATAAGCTTTCGAGTGCGAAATTTATGTAAAATGCTTACATTTCTCGCTTTGTGATGATCTTCATGCGCTGGTTAGCTCAAAAATCTAATAAATTCAAAAATCACAAATATTGCGAAAACATAGCAATCTTTGTGCAAATCTGATTTCTGGACATTGCAACATACCTGAAAGTGAATGTCAAATTCATTAAAGACAGGTTCATGAAAAATGAAAAACAGATGATGAAGATATTAACATCAACGAGATACACGCGTTCAAAAGAGTATGTGATCTAAATGAGTAATTCTTTATAACACTCGTGCTCCAAAGCTAATTTGCAATTTTGTGCAATTCTTCTTCATCCGTCATCTCTGAGGAATGTTTACTTTCAAATCCTTTTTTAATGAATTGCGACAGCTAGTTCAGCATATTTGTAGAAATTTTAACAGAATTCATTCACTATTTTGTAATTCACTACTCTGTAACCGTTGTTTGAATTGCGCAGCGGAAGACTTCTGATATTGCACATAAGAAGGAGGACAGAATCAACATACAAAAGGTTAAATTTTATATAGAAATAGCACCCTGTGAACTCAGTTTTGGCTAAATTTATGAAAAGCAATATTTATGATGGTTGTTATTAGCGTTTTTAAAACTACGTAATCATGTTTTGTTAAGAAAAGGTATTTCCTCGGTAATATTACCTTCTAAAATCTAAAGCATTTACCATTATTTTCAATATTCTGGTGTAGGTCATTTAAATAAACAATGCACAATTTTTTACTTTCGAAGCATGCCCGCAAGATGATACGTGTATCAAGATGAAAATACAGCAATTCATATTGCAGAAATAATAGTGACAGATTGATTTGGAGAGCATGAAAGTGAGCTCGGGCATCTTTTATATCCTGCATATTCCACTAATCTCAACACTACTGATCCTGTTCATAACACGCCAGAGAACAAAACTGGAAAATCTCATCCAACATCATAAAATAAAACAGCCATTGTTATGAGAAAGGAATAACTAACATAATAGTACCTTTTCAACTTCTTTCGAAATTATGGAAAAATTCTGATTGCACTATATTTTAACAAAGAAAAGGGAATGTAAAAAAAGTTATTATTAAATTGTTTTTTAATAAAATAAAAAAATTATTTAAATCAATTTCACTTTTTTAAATTTGCTACTCTATTTTTAAATACTACTGTTTTTGATCTAAATTCTTTTTGAGCATTACTTGATATATAAGACGCAGAATTATGAATGGAATTTTAGATGCATTATTTTATAGATTATTAGACGTAATAAAATTTTTTGTTCTCATGAGTAGCGAAAAAAAATGGAAAAGTCAAATTAATTCAGAGTTTAAACATTTGTTTTAAAAGTAACAGCAAAAGTTCACGTTAATTTTATGCTCAGTTTCATCGGAACTAATAATAAACTCGCTCAAAAAGTTTGAAATCTTTACCTCAAATATTTATTTTTAAAAATCATTATAATTTTTAAAACTTGAATATCAACAAAAAATGAACGTGGGGAAAAATCGGTCTGAAGTTTTTATTTGTAAAATTAATCAGTTACAACATTTGTTGTGGGTCCAATTAACTTAACGATGTTAATATTAATTTAGAAATCAAACAACAAAGCTCAGCGTTATATTTGCAAATTTGCACAGGACTAGTTTCGATGGTTTTACCGAACCATCATCCTCAGCTAGACCATTATTTTTTCAGCCAACCAAATGGAATGGTTTAGCTGAGGATGATGGTTCGGTAAAACCATCGAAACTAGTCCTGTGCAAATTTGCAAATATAATACTGATTTTTGTTGTTTGACATCTAAATTAATATTTGTTCGGCGTGTTGCTTTAACCTAAATTTAACTACGTCAGTTACCTAAAAATAAAGTGCTACGTTTCTTCAGCGCGATGAATTATCAGCACCAGAATAGCTAGATAACCATGAAACCAACAGACAAGGATTTAAAACACTTCAAATTTATTCAGCCTCACCACTTGTAAGTGATTAAACTAAAATATACAGTCATAAAATTTTCCAGCTAACCTGGACTTGGTTTTAACACAAAGCGCCCTTTCAAAATGGATATAAATTTAACAAATTAAATTTAAGTCGAGAAAAAACTACAAGACTGCCTAAACAGCGACAGAATTTCGAACACACACTTAGTCCAAAGAATTCCCAGGAAGAGCAGCATTATCATCGCCAAAAGTTTATTTCCTTCAAAATCGGCAGAGCAGCGGAACGCAGGCCGATCTCTCAACCTCTATTCGTAAAAGTTTCTAACCTTTATTGTAAAACTGCTTAGCACTCAAATCTACATAAATTCTGGAATGAGTGAACTTCATGGCGAAAAGAGGCAGAAAGAAATTAAAAGAGCATTTCGCTAGTAAACCTTAAACATAAATGGCAGAAGTTTAACTGCAAATCTGTCAAAATTTCATGCATAGTTTTATCAAACAAATAAATCAAAGAACATATAAGATATCTCATGCATCTAACCTTCAAAACACAAATTCCTACAATGATTTTAGGATTTTAATTATTCAAAAATGCAAAATAATTAAAGCTTGGATTATAAATTTCATTTCTGCAAAATATCACTTTTTTAGTCAATGTATTTGCATTACGTTTTACCAATCAATTACAAATAGGATTTTAAAAATATGTATATATTATTAAGTTGTACGTTTAAATAAATTTTCAATAATTTAAAAATTTCCTTCTCTAAAATTTGCTGCTATATTTTTAAATTTCAATCTACTTTTTTCCGCATTCCTTGAGATATATTGCACAAAACTCTTATATGGAATTTTTTATCCTTCTATTATTAAATTTAGTAAAAGTTCATCGTTTCCATGCCTAATAAAACAACAATAGATTCTAATTCCCAGTTTAAATATTAAAAAAAAACACTGCAAGTTAATATTAATTCCATGCACGGCTGTCTCAAAAGTATAAGAAATATGTGGAAAAAATTTCGAAACCTCTATTTTAATTTTAAAAAAAAGGCCTTAACATTTTTAAAGCGTTAGTGTTAATAAAAAAAATGAACATCGAGAAAAATTTGCTTAATTTTCATTTGTAAAAACTACCAGTTTAACAGCTAGCCTCTTTAAATTTCACTTCATGTCACTCGTGCATTTCAACAAAAGAAAATAAAATAATTTGATATTCCATTAGGCTATGACACTAGTAAATTCTAGCCATTTAAAGGCATTACCTCTTTAAATTTCGAAAAAAAAAATCTAAATTAGTTTTTAATTCCTGAAGCTACAGCTTTTATATTTTATCTACATATTTAAAAGCTACATATTTTAAAAGCTTCAAAAAGAGGAAATGTTCTGAGTATAAATGCTTTAGTTTCATTGTCCATACTTTGTACGTTTCTAATAGTCTATAAAAATGCTGCCGAGCGGTAAAATCGCAGAATACTAGTAGTTCGGTCCGGGGTTCGAACCTCGGCGAACGGGTTAGCTGCATGGACGTTTTCAGGTTTCCCCATGCGTAACATGTACACGAGCCAGTTTCTCTTAGAAATTCTTTAACGAAAGCATCCCTCCCCTTATGCAGG